AAGAATCACTTACACACTCTTTTAAAATAATTTTAGAAAATCTCCCAGAAAAGTAACAGGTATTTTATAGGGTTACCTCTCACTACTTTGCCCCCAAGGGCACAATGTGCCTCCCCCCGTGCATATTTGACTGGGGTCCATAGATAAAAATAATTAGTGCAACTAGTACTATCACTGTGCCGAGTTTGATGCTTTTACCCCAAAGTGCACAATTCAGCTATTTTTTTACACCATATGGCTGGACTATTAAAGCAGCCATGAAGAGTACCACATTAAATTTCTTTTGTAAAGTAATTACTCTTTGGGAGTGTCACCCACAGTTTTAAAAGTTACAACTTTATCGTTGAGCCCAGAGGCTTGGTCTAGACAACACCACAGGATGTTTCGAAAATCAATGTTACATCCAGATCCACTTCATCTCAAATACATGAATCAAACATTCACAGATCTTATTGTACTGTGTACTAAGTAGGGTTTTTCACTACCAATTCAAAACAATGCATGAGCTCTCGAATAAAACAACTCTTCTGACAAAGTTGAATCTTTCCTGAAACGCCAAAGAAAAACAAAGGTTTCTTCAATCCGTAATTCGTGCAGTCCCATAATTCCGAGGGTTATTTTTGGCATCCCACCTCCCGCGCATACCCTCAATCCCGAATCTCGCCCCGATTTTGGTTTAAAACTCCGATCGAATCCCAAGCCTCAAATAAGGGAAATCCCGGATCCCGGAAAATCTACTGGGGACCCTCTGAAAAGTTATAAATAACAGTACACATGATATTTTCATAAACTAGGAAATATTGTTTTCTTTTTATTATAAACAACGATTTGTTTTTATAATATAACGAAGAGGTTATTCGCATGATTTTCCACCAAACGCACTCCTATCCTTCATCTCTAACCTCAATGAGAACATGCCTTTGGGTAATCGAGCGTTTTGTACGACATTGAAAAAACAGCCAAGAACAACGGAAATGATAACGATTTGATGATGTAGCAAGACAGGTATTGTAGGCCATGTAGATATTTTGCTGAATTTCAGTTTTTTTGTTATCATCATAAACAAGCCTGGGCGATACTGAAAAGGACAATAATCTCTATTTCACAATGACCATAACACATCTTTCGATAGGCTTCCTATTCACGCCTTTGTTACCTACTACTATTTCAACAAGTTGTATAATTACTGTACTCAACATAATGTATGCATAGGAGTCATGACGAGGGGTAATAAGAATAAAAATTTTTTTGAGGACCTTAGTTACTCATCAGTCAAAAATTTGACATTTAATATTCTTGGGCAAATTTTCAAGAAGCCGAGCCAGGAGGAACCAAGCCTTTTCCTGCCGTTTGAGATGAAAACTGTCAACGAAGGGACAGGTGTCTAGACTCGATCATTTCAAGCAGCCCGGAGACAATCCTTTTAATATCAGCTGCGTATGCTCACAGAATATTCATTCTCATGACTTTGTTTTTTGAAAAACTAGTCGATGTTCAAATTACTTGCCAAATCATGATCACCGTTTTGTGGCCAAACAAAAGCCCACTTATCGTACCGTATTGGAGCTCAGTAAACGCTAACATTTTTACGTTATCACCTATCTTGTTGTCTGTTAGAAATATTTAAATACGAATTTCGAAATGACTACTGTTAAGCAGTAACTTTAATTTTCCTCCTTCACCGGGAAAAAAACCGCTCCAATAAAGTTTACTTTATCTACTATAAGGCACATAATAAACTTACCGTTATAAAATGAATTTTAGCCAGAACTGAGGCCAAAGAGTGCAGTGCTTTGCTATGTGCTTAAGTAAAAATAAGCAAATAGTTAAAAGTATTCAATGAGAAGAATTCTAAGACCAGAAAGCTCAGAAAAAAATTCCGAGCCCCAGATGAGAATCGAACTCACGACCCTCCTTGTACTTGCTCGGACGCTCTAACCACTGAGCTACTGGAGAATAGGATTTATTACTATAATAATGTTTACTCATACCTGTCAATAAATCTGTAGCTGTGAGATTCAGAATTAAAATGTTGTAGGGCTTGGAAAGGAGATCTCGACGTCTGCAAATAACGAAGCACAGCAGAAGATTGCCCAGGAAAGCAAGAACTGCGATGCTGCCAAATATACCTTTATATAGTAGTCTCAAGATTTCCATCATCCCTGTTCTGTTGAAGTGAAGTTTCATTAACCTGACTAGAATTGTTCCAAAACATACTTTTTTAACTAGTGTTTTTCTTTTCCACCTTCTTTAGTCGCTTGAGATTGTTTCAGTTTGTTCTTGGCAGTCCACACGATAAGGAATGAAAAGTTCAATCAGTTTTAAAATAGCGAGTATTTACCGTAGGCACAAGGTGCAAAATTGCTTCTAAATTTTTTGTTAGTATTTTGCATGTATTTACATGCTAACTTCTATTCCTAATCTGCCTCGTTAGTGAAAGGGAAATGAATTGTATAATTAAACTACTGCTAAGACGCACCTGTTATTACCCAAAACACAAGTCAGTTATGAATTGAAGCAACACAATGCATTAATGAACGAAACCATTGTTTGTTAAACACATATAACGGCTTGACGCCAAATTATTGTTGGACGGAATGACGTCACATCCAGTATTTCTCGGAATTTTATGCTGTAGTCACGTCGCAAGGGATCGGAAGCTTTCTTAATATTTTAATGTTGCAGGCCAAAAATTCTCATATTTTCTTGCTCTGCGACTAACGCGAAAATCTCAAGAAGCCCCTGGGTACAGACACTAAAATCTATTTCTAAACATGAACCTTGCCCTGATTATGAAATGCAGGAGAATTTCGTTTCAACAGACTGACTTGAGATTTGAAGAGCTGTCAGTAATTACTGACACATTGTTGTCTTTTTATTTGCAACTGGATTATTAATATCACCATCCGTAGTACTCGCAATGGCCTTGGCCCCCTTAAAAATTTTCACAGCCCACGGACAGCATATGTTCACACGTAAGGGGTGTTCCCACATGAAAACAAAAATTGGGCGAACAAACATGTCAACAAAGATTCGCCTATAACTGGCTAATGCACCCAGTTTTAAAAGAAAAATACAAAATTAGTTAGAATGACATAAAATAATCAATATAAAATTATTTACATGGCTAAAAGCTGTGGGATAATTGTTAAAACTATAAACATGATAACAGGACCGAGAATAAGGAAAATGGGAAAATAAAAAACCTATCTCAAACTAGTTGGTGCTACGTAAGTAACAGTTACATACATGAAAGTTCACTAATCTTTCTGATTTGAATCGCGAACTTTTTATTGGTAGGAGAAGTTCTTAAAAATCGTCGTTCCATCTCGATGAAATTATAATTGTTAAAACTGATGTACCTTAAAATACCCTTTACAGAAGATTACGTGCAAAAGGACTTTATGATTGGACAAAAGGCTCCTCCCCGCCGCTGTTAGTAATGAAAAGGAACTACAGCCGAAACCCCATTAATATGGACACTGAGGGGGCCGTACAAACTGCCCGTATTAACCAGGTGTTCGTATTAAGCGGACTGAATTTAGAGAAAATGTAAGCGATTTTTTCCTCTGGGACGAAGCAAACTGTCCGTAATCAAATGGGATTTAGAGATTTCTCTTTTTTGAGAATTAGTGCCTAAAACAACGGTTCCATACTGCAGATAAGGATGGACAAGGAAAAGTCAAAGTTTAGTTAAGTTTGCAGAAAAGTTACCAAAGATATCAAGAACTTTGATAGATAGCAACGGCATCTTCTTTGATGTTTTTCAGCAGTATTAAGAATATAGTTCAATCCGCCTGATTGCACGATTCATCAGAAGATAAAGCCCGTGAAAGCCTGTCTAGTCGTCCCAGAGTAATCTCTAGGCGAGAGATACAACTTCCAAGCTTGAGTAAGTCTTTTTTTTTCTACTTTATTATTCATTAATAACAAGCCCATTATAAGTAAAGGAATTCTGCTTTTGTGAAACCATCTATCTATCACGGCCATTACTTCCAACGACTAAAATTTAAACAATAAAATATACTTATATGTAACAACGTTGTAGTCCTGATTTCAAGGCAAAAGCTTATTGAAGTTGGTTGTTTTGTTCTTCCATACACAATGTTAATTGTATTCGAGTTAATCCGCGATATTAACCCAAAGTGCAGAGTAGAAAGCAATTTGTAGATTCATCAGTTCAGTCACGAAATGCATATCTCAACTGCCTTTCACAATCCCGACTCCCTTTGTACGTTCCTTAAAGTTCTGTCGGTAAAGTGCTCTCTGATTTCTCTAAAGTGTTTGCCAAGAAGAAAATAAATCCGATCTCGATTGCATTGAAACTACCGACGAAACTTATAATTCCCCTTCACAAAAGATCTGCGACTTAAAGGGCTCAATGTTTGGACAAAAAGCGGGCTTTTTACAATTAGAGAGGATAAATTAGTTGCCGGTAAATCAGTAAGCTCCTCCCCCGGCTACCTTTTAAAGATTAAGGGAAGTATCTTACCACCCTCAGTCAATTTGATTAAGCACTCATTCTGTAGCGTAAGAAACTACGGACAGAACGAATTTTGAATTAAGGTGGGTAAATGCTTCTTCACTTCTTGAGAAGTGATTTAACCAGTTTAAATCGGCCAAACATATTTATTTTCCTATTCATAAGATCTGTTGGTCACGAATACGTTCCTAACGCCATTAAGCTTACTAAATAACCATGCACACTTCGACCTTCGAAGGAAATTAACTTTAATTACTATTAAAAAACATAAAATCTATCGCCGTAGGAATCGATGGTGATTCCTAGCCAGCCACGGAAAGCTTCTTGGCTTTCAGACCTTTTAAGGCACAGAACTGCTAAAGAGGCTCCATTGGAATTTATTAGTTGCCACACAAAGACTTCGGTTAAACCACTTTGTACCACATTGCATATTTCTACGGTTGCCTCAAGGCGATCGGCCTACACAGCAAAATAATAGAAACATGCTTGATTTGGATTCCTTTTACGCCGGTCTTTTTCCTTGAGCGTGGTCGAAAGAAACGCAAGTTGAGCTGGCGATTAATGCTGCAAAGTGCACTTGTACTCAGAGAGCACTGAGCATTGCTATTTTAGCATTTCAATGATCGATTTAACATAAAGAAAACACTTTTCGCATCCCCTCCACGTATTTTTTAAAGGGCCATGTCACGAGGATATATTGCTGTTTTAGGTCAATTCTGTGCTAATCAATCCATGTTTACCCTTGCCATCCATCTTGACCAACAAACGACAAGAAACCGTTTCAATGCCAAAATAGAGTCTAAAACAACAAAACTAGTGGTAGTAGTTTTCATGATTTCACAGTTCTTTCTTTAGTGTCCGTTGTTTTACTCTTGGTCACATTTAAATTTAGTGTTGGTTTTTTGGTTAGTCATTTTGATGTTGTAAGATGCTGATCAGTAGGTCAGTGGTACCTGTATTTTTTTTCATTGACTGGAGTTTTGTATTGTGACAACACACCTTTTCATCAAGGCGAGCCGGAATGACACAAGGACACGATGATATCTTTTAAGAGTATGTTCGGAGATAATCAGAAAAAAACTGGGAAAGATATCATATAATTTCTAACTTGAATTATTTTTTTCTAGGCGTGGTGTTTTAAGTCACCATTAAGAACCATATGTAGTAAAGGAATTCTGCTGTGCTGAAACCATCCATGTATAACGGCCATTTACTTCTTAAGACTAAAATTTAAACAATAAAATTAACATATATTGCTAATTGAGAGCGTTCTAGTAATGATTTTAAAGCTTAAAGCCTTTTGAAGTTGGCCGTTTTATTCTTGAATACAGATTATACACAATGTTAATTGTATTCACGTTTATCAATCTTAGAAGTGCATGAAATTTTAGCAGCAAGCAACTATTATTATTTACTCTGTCATGATACACACTTCCTACTGACAACCCTCTCTTTGGACGTTCTTTGAAACTTTACTGGCGTACCTTAAAATCCCCTTTACAAATGATTGTGTGCAAATCAATTAATTCTGTGCGATTAATCCTACAAAATGCACTTTCTGAAAGCACTGAGCATTGCTCATTCGCATCCCCTCCACATATTTTAAAAGGGGCCATGTCTCGAAGACAACGAAGATGTTGCTTTTTTCAGGTCAATTCTTTGCTAATCAATCCGTGTTTACCCTGGCCATCCGTCTTGACTAACAAACGACAAGAAACGGTTTAAATGCCAAAATAATAGTCTAAAACAACAAAACTGGGGCATTATTTTTAAACTGTTCAAACCCTTTTTAGTTAAATCCCCGCTCGGCTGCGACAAACCTCTTATTTCGATATTGTCCGTGGGCATCCCTCTAAAGCTCCGTGCAGACGGACGCAACATTGTTGGCCAACAACTCCCAACATTGTTGGATGTCACATATCGCGTCTATTTAAACGCCCTGTTCTTTGTTGGTGCGTGTTGCTGGGAATTGTTACGCAAAGATTGAAACCGGTTAAAGTTTTAGCTACGCGTGCAAACGAACGCAACAACTCCCAACAATGTTGCACTGGGAGTTGGTGGTCCACAACGTTGCGTCCGTTTGCACGTTGGGCCGGGATTAAGACAAAAGATCCATTTCTACTTAATTCCTCGACTTCATTCAGTTACGGGAATAAAGGAAATGATGCTTAATATTGAAAACAAATCATACCGTGTGAACGTTTTGCCAAAGAGGTTATATTTAAATGGCCACATCATGGGATTTCGTGCACAGACTCAAAAGTTAGAACAACATATATATACTGAATAAATGGTTACTTTGTTTAAAATGTTTATGCTCCAGATGAAGCTGTTTACAGTTATTGCTTCGTTGATGCTGGTTTCCATGGCAATGGCCAGGTGGACCCCTCTGGGGGAAAAATTTAATCGACTCTATGAATATGACTATGCAGATGAAGATGAAGATTCCGGATATACAGGTGGACTTCTTCAGCAAGAGGATGAAAACGCTTACGCAGATAAAAATGAAGAGCCAGGATATGCAGATGAACTCTACGAGGATGAAGATGCATATGCAGATCGAGAAGATCAGGTTTGGTTTGGAAAATCACTGTTCGGCTTAAGCGTATGATGCTGAGAACACTTTCGACCCAAAGCGGAAGTGACGTTAATTTTGATGACAGATACCTAAATACCCCGGGTGCCAGAGACTTGTCCTGCCGAAGGCACAAACGAGCTACAAGAAATGTGACGTCAACAATCACATTGCTGCAGAACACTATTTACAGACGATACATGAAATCGACCGCATGGGACATCTACGACATGTATTACGTATTCTACAGACTACTATCAACAACTCACTTTAGAAAGCTGGTTTACTAACTAAGTAACTTAGAACAAACGCCACTGAACCGTAGTTTCAGTAAAGTTAACAGTTACCGGCACAGTACAAACGAGTTACTGACGGATTCAAGCCAATTCTAACTACAAGAGAATAACTAGACAGTGACTGGACAACCGACAATTTGAGTAACAATGAACGACTGTTAACAGTGACAATAGACGGATCGAAACGCACCAATGACATCACGGCTTAAATGACAGACGATCAATAACATGGCAACTTAATTGACCAATCAGGTCTATAACCAGAGTTTAATACCATCAACTGACGTGACACATCTCACTTTGACTCTTAAGATGACTACCGCACAGGTTGTCCAAACGTCAGCAAACCCGGTCAACAACAGTCCTATTCAGGACTACGTCCACCCGGACGATCACGCTCAACCTCCTTCTGAAATGACTCCTGGGTTCAAACCTTTCATTGTTTTGTAGAATTTAACTTTGCACTAAAAAAAGGCCCGTTAATTGTTCTCTTTTAGAAGGAAGACCCCGAAGTACCTTCCGTGGAATGCAATACATTTAATGGCCAGACTGTGTATTGTTATTTCCCGCAAACCTGGTAAGAAATTTCAAAATAATTTTCTTAGATCACTACGTCCGATGGGTTGGTAGCGACTTGATCACATTAAACATTTTGGTAAAATTGAACTTTTCAAGAGTAAGCCTTAAAACGGTGAGAAGACCACTCCCCTTGCTGGGGAAAAACGGTGAACTGCGCGGAAAGAACAAAAAACACGAAGCGAAGCGAGCCTGCGAACGACTGTGAGAAGGAAAGGCCAATGTACCCTTTTCCTCCTTAATCCCCGCTCGGTTTGCCCCTTCCCTTGAGCTCCTCCTGATATTCGCCGTTCTTCCCCACAAAAAAGGCAGGCCCCAGGCTAGCTTTGCCTGAGAAAATTAACAGTCACTGGTTTTTGCCGCGAATCACCTCTGAGAAATGTGCACAGAAATTCCATACTAATGATGCCGGAGTTGACTTTTGCAATGCTACAAATTAAGGAGAATTCAGCGTAGAACATTAGCCATTTAGACCTTAATTTGGGGCGGGGGCGCACACAAGAAATGTTTGAGTAGACGTGTGCCGTACAGGTCTTTTTAAATCCCTGACCCTGTTTCAGACAAAAACCGCTCATTTTGCCACACTTTTTTACTATAATTTTTTGATCTGGAGTCATTTCCTTTTGCGTACAACTTCAGTAATTTTTTAAACTTTCATCATGAAATTTGATTTTCTAGTGACTCAGCCCCCTGAAAAATATATACCCTGTTAAGTGATACATACCCGTTTAGGCCAAATAAAGGAGTCTCCCCCCCCTCCGCATGTTAAGTTCGCTGATGCACAAAAGTTCGTTCGCCATTTGCACATCTCCCATAATACACCATTTTTGCTTCCAAACATTTTGTATAAGCTTTGTCTTTAATTTCTCTTTGGACGACTATAATACCCAGGAGAAATTAAAATTAAGCTTATGCAAACTTTTGACGGGCAAACAAGGGTTACTATGGGAGATGTGCAAATGGCGAATACCGTAAAATTCCGAAAATAAGCCCCCCAAAATCGTAACGCAAAAAACCCTCCGTTAAATCGCCCCTCTTAATATACCCCCCTCCCCGAGGGGGCTTGTACTTGGAATTTGCCCTCGAATACAAAGAAAAACAAAGCAACAAAAAGTAAATTTCCTTCCCACTACAAGCTAGCCCAATCGATTTGGAAACGCAAATTTCCCTCCGTACATAAGCCCCTCCAAAAATAAGCCTCTCAAAAAGGGCCTTTGAAAAATATAAGCCCCGGGGGTTATTTTCGGAATTTTACGGTAACTCTCTGCGTAAGGAACAGCATGACATCACGTGAGACCCCAGATACCTTTTAACACTGCATTGCATATGGCGATATATTTGAACTTTGGGATCACACATTGTTTAATAAAAATTTTTGAATATTTCACAAGTTCATTAGCAGTTAAACTCATTATATTTTGTCCAGCAAATTTCCATATTTTAGATCTTTTAAAAAGTAAGAAAAGGTCATAAATTTGTATCTTACAGTTTTCACTCATATTTATAACTATCTTCTTTCTTAATAGCGTGTATGTGACAGCCGATGACGGACAGACCTTTGGCCAGTGCCAGAATGCGCAAGGGTAGCACTGCATGAAGACACTCTTTATCTTACTTTCTGGATTTGTTTCAATTTGTAATCCTTTTAATAATAAAAAAATGAAAGTGGAGGTGTTGACTCTTAAAAGTGTGCGATCTACCTCAGATACCAACCTCGTTTCCAGGCTTTTTCCCAAAGCAAGGGAGAGAACCCTGGGAACTAGGTTGGAGAACAAAACAAGGTCACCGCCAGCCTCGCATCTATTCAAAGGCAGGAGTAATCGCCTCCTGTCAAAGGCCAGGGGCCCGTTTCTCGAAAGTCCCGGTGACTTTTCGGGCCCGAAATCAAATATTTAAATCGAAATATAAAGAATAAGAGCGCGGGTCCTGGCTAGCAGACTACTCCATTTTATTTCACTAACTGATAGTTTTATCATGCTAGATGCAAAACTATTGAAACTTCGATCTTTAATGTAAACGGAGACAGCTTACCGGGCCCGTTAATTATCGGGACTTTCGAGAAAAGGGCCCCAGGGCACTGAGCACACAACTGTAAAATGGCCTATTCTGAAGCATAACAATCACCTTATGAACCAAGCGAGGAGAACGCGTCATTTTACACGAAGGCGAGACTAAGGGGAAAAAGAAAAAAACGCCTGCATGCAGTCGATTGTTGTGGCTCTTCCTCCCTCCTACGCCCACATAGGGAGCTTAAGCAACGACGAGGACGACGGCAACGAGAACGGCAAAAAAAAGCAATAGGTTTATATTAGCAAAAACAACAACTTTGCACGTGCATCACGCTTTTTGTACATTTCTTTGCCGTCGTTGCATGACTACAACGAGAAAGTGCCTAAATTCACGTTTCTCGCATCCTCGGAGACCCAGGGGCAGATAAAGGGGGCGAGGGAAAGTCTAAACGGGCGGAAAAATATGGCACGAAGAAAAGTAAAGAACGGCGAGAAGAGCCCCTGGGGACAATGTCTTACCAGACCAGTTCCAACGGTCGCCGCCGTTCTGGCTTCTGATTGGTGCCAGAAAAACACAAGTTTTTCTGGCACCAATCAGAAGCTAGAACGGCGGCGACCGTTGGAACTGGTCTGGTAAGACATTGTCCCCAGGGGCTCTTCTCGCCGTTCTTTACTTTTCTTCGTGCCATATTTTTCCGCCCGTTTAGACTTTCCCTCGCCCCCTTTATCTGCCCCTGGGTCTCCGAGGATGCGTTTCTCGAAGACATGAACACAAGACAACGACTTCCTTTTTCTTTTCCTGAACTTTGATATAGTCTTTTGGAATTCAACTCCAGAAAAATTTGCCAACATTTGACAAATTGGAGAAGAAGTTGGAATAAGCGCGATAAAGTTTGAAGTCGTGCGAACTGATTCACATTTAAGTGACGTCTTCGTGGCCGTCGCCGTCGTTGTTGCTTAAGCTCCCTACTGACTAACGGCGGTTATGTCAAAAGGACCAATCAAAGCAAGAGCCATTACCCGTAAATTGTTTCCTTTCTGGCTACCAGAATTGAAACAACAACAGCAGCAAAAACCCTGTCTCGTCCCCAGTCGTCTCCAAGTTGTCTCTACTCATTAATTATCATCGTACTAGGGAAGCGCTTGAGTTCTGCGCTCGGGGAAGAAGGGAAGGCGACAGGCGGGGAGACTCTCCCTTCTCCCTTTTTCCTTCCCGTCATCCCCTTCGTTAAAGAGCCCGTTTCCATCTTCCACGCCAAATACTAATAATGAGAGACGACTGGGGACGAGTCAGGCATAAACCACAGGAAATAAAAATAACAACTACGAAGACCGCGCATCGCCTAATGTTGTCTCTGTTGTCCTTGATGTCCCTGTTGTCCGTGTTGTATTTGTTGTCCCTGTCGGCAAAAATGTCCAAAATCAGCGACGAGTAAGAAAAGAGGGAAAACCTGTTGTTCAAAAATGGTCCCGCCGGGACCATTATCACGAGCTTATCAGTCGTGTCTGGCCTGTCAATACTTAATTTCAAAAAGTTAGTAAATCAGCCTTTTTCCAAATCCCAGTTGGAAGCAATTCAAGAACGTCTTTTTTCTTAATTTAAACATTTCGTTTGTTTTAACGTCATTTCTGGAACACTTGGAAATAAACGAACATCATAGTCATGACAAAATGACCGGGCAACATGACTGCCTGATGGCCATTTAGTTCCAGACGTTCAAGTAGTGAACGTGGGAGGTACCAGAACAATGGATTGGTAACAGGCGCGTTATTTTTCTCCACCCCCCCCCCGCGTCAAGTCAAGTCTATACAAGTTTTGTTTGTTCCCCTTAAGTGAGCCAAACAACCTCCTCTAGCTGTCCTAATAAAATTCTTGACTTGACCACGCCCACTTTGTTTGCCCATTTTTCGGTAGACTGGTGACTAACCAGAAAAATCTGACGCTTCCGAATGCATCAGCTAGTGCCAGTGAACAGCGTTTTATTTCCGTGAAACGTTTTCTCACAGTTCTTTACTTTCTTGGGGTATGGCAGTCCTTGACGTGTTATTCACTACTGTTGTTCTTGCTGTTTTAATCGCTGAAGGTAAGATTCGCTGAAGATTGCGTGAGTTTGTGCATCCTCAAGGCAGAAGCTTCAAAGCAGTAACTGCAAACCCAGATGATGCGGAAGAATGATCATGAAGCCTTTTTGTCTTGATCTAAATTTAAAAGCCTAAAACAGCTTATCAAGTTTTATTCACTGAAAGAATTGAGGCTTGAAAAAAAGCATCACCGCCAAAAATAACAGATCATTGGTTGAGTATGTTGATCAGTGTTTATACTTAAGGAAAACCGTGTACCTTCACGTATGGAAATTACAGCTGAAGCATTGTAATTCTTAATGTCAGTTATCAGTCAAGGATTGCAATAATATTAAAAATAATTGCACGTTATTAACTCCTTAAAATTCATATTTCGTGAGGAAACCACATTATAACAACTTGCCGTCATGGTAAAGACAGCAAAGAGATTTTGTTCAGTCGATAATGAAATAAATTTAATTTGCCCTTCAGTTCATTGGGTATAAGTGAGGCTAAAGCTGCCTTTGGCACAAGTGCACATTAATTAATGCCGTGAGAGTCTTTGATTAGCCAAAATTGAATGATCCTAAGGAAAAAAGGGTTTTGAGATGTTTTCGCTCATACTGTGAATGTTCTCAGAAAGCCCATGGATATACTACACCAATGTTCACTAAAATTTCCATTCATCAGTCACGAGGTTTATTTTGATTTGCATGTCCAAATTACTTGCATTGATCGTATCTATTTCATATCATTTTATTAATTAACAACTAATTTATGAAATCTGTTAATTGACTCTTGAAGAACATATTAACAGCTCCTATTTTGAAGAGTTATATTTTCTCCTTCAATACAAGGACAAAAAACCAACAGTTTTCACTGTTAAATTTTATGGTCAGAAAATTAATTAATTAAGTATAAAAACTAATTTAGTTCTTATCATTATTACATAATTTAATCTAAGCACATTAGTAGATTGAAAGCATATAAAAATTATTGCTAATGTGCATAACAGTACAATTTTATACAAATTCTTTTAGATACATCAGCCACAAACAGTTAAAAACATCATTCAGCCATGCAACCCTTTACAATACAAACCCAGGGTTTTCATCGATTTCTAGTAGCAGGAGAAAGGTGTAACATTACAGGAGAATATCTGAATAAAACATAGTCACAGGCTACCGAACGTTAGCCAGATAATTTTTCATTGTCATGAACACCCTGCAAACCCATGTGCTTTAGCAGAGGTTTGGACATGGCTGGACATAAAGCTTACATAAAACTCCCCTTATTTTCTTAGGGTCTGAATATTTAGCCTCAATAGACTTTTTTTAATATTGCCCTCTGTCATATTTTTAAATTGTCTCTTACATGTGTGTGCATTAAAATTTAATTCCTATAACAACACCAGATCAGCAGCTTTGCTAACAAATGTTTTGCTACGATGCTTTCACGTCTCAAACAACTAAAGAACTCATTTTATGGATTTGATGCATGTCCATGGAATGTATTACCTGAGAATATTAGGAAGTCAAAAAGGAAAAAAAAACGAGCATTGAAATGCTTACTATTGTTCCAAACTCGTTAAAAATACTTGTGGGTAGTTAGATCTGCACTGTCATATTAATGTATTGAAGCAATGATAGTTTGAGACATGTCAGTCTGTATATTAGTTTTTACAAAATAAATTGTTTCTTTGCAGTTCCTGTTAGTGACAGCCGCAGTCCAGTAAGACCAATAAATCCACAGCTGTTGGTAAGGTTTGCTCCATGTACAGTAGTTAATAATAATATTATCTTTTACATTTAGCCACAGGCCATTACAAATCTATGATAAAAACTAGAATAACAACTTTAACTCCAAGACCATAAGGGTAGGAGGAAGTTAGGGTTACAAAATTAGCTTGACTTATGGATTGGTAATACATCATGATCAAAGTAACAATATTTTAACATTTTCCATCCGTTTACAGTTCTCTACAGAAGATTGTGGCAAAACAAAAGGTTGCTTCTTTAGGCCAGAATCTTGTTCATCTCGAACAAGTGACTGTGATTACTTCATGTCATATAGACCCGATGAATCATCCATTACGTTTGAATTGAGCAGTAAGGAAAAATGGATATCAGTTGGATTCAACCACAAAGCCATTATGGTAATAAACTCTTTTGGTTGCAATGTTTCAGTGGAGACGACCAAGGCTCACCCTCCTCTTCTCCTTAAATCCTCACCCTTCTGTTCATATTTTAGTTAAACTAAGGAAGCCCACTCCTTATAATCCCACTCAGGGGTTTCAATAAGCACCGACAGCCAGCAAAATGCGTCGGCTACTTTGGTCATAGAAGTCAGCTGCTTTTTTCCAGAAAGAAAAAGTAACTAGTTTGAATATAACCTTGTAAACAAAAATATATCATAAAATCTGTATGAAAAGCACAAGGCCCACTGGTTTTACATTATGCTTCAGCCATGTGAATGCTATATTTCAGTCAATTTTCACAGTTTTACACAGAATTTGTTTACGTGCAAAGTAGGTAATCTAGTTTTCATCATTTGTTCATTGCTTGTAAGAATGGATCATGTAACTGATAAATTGAAAGGTGAATGAAAGCTACATTTTCTAGAATAAAAAAACAATGCTCTTTTATCCTCAATTTAGTCCCCAGAACGCTGAAAATCGCATTTTAGGGCTTTGAAATTTCAAAATTTTCTGGATAAGCATGCCCCCGGACCCCCTCCCCCACCCTATAAGAAAAAGGGGACTAACAGCCCCCTGTTGATACAGTCAGTTACTCTATTCAAACCTGCTGGCTACTTCAATTTTTATTGAAACCCCTGCCAGTGGCTTCCCTTGGGCTTCCTCGCCATTAGCTTTTTATTTAGATTTTCTTGTTTTTTTTTTTGTCCATCATCATGGCAAAACAATAAACTGTACTTAACTGAGCATACACCCATACCTTCAAGAATGTGTCCCCCTCCCCCTTGAAACTTATGATACTATGTACATCCAATGTCATAAATAACTTGTAATGAAATTTATTAAATAGCCATTGGGGTCTTTAACTTTAGGATGGTACAGATTCCATCATATGTTCATCTCTTGACAATGGAAGCAATGTGATTGGCCATTATCCTGTAAAAGGATATGACACACCTATTAGAACTGGCGAGGTAAGAGTTAAATACAGAACTTGCTGGTTTGGAGAAATTTCAGAAAGACCAATAGGTCAATTACCCATGCAAAACGTGTGACACTGGTGCAGTGGTGCATTAGTGACTTACAAGCATTGTACAAATGGCTGCAGGAAATAACCAGCTTTCAAATATCTGACACTAATAATTAAAAGTGAGAAAATAATTGTGCTTAAATACATCTGCATGTGATTCCTGGAGTGTTGCCATCAGGTTATTTGCAACTGTGATTCATTAACTAGTACTTGCAATACTGGCATTTAGCTTACATTTTATAGTTGATTATCAGAAATTAATGGATTGACCCAACCAACTGATCATTGATTATTGTAAGAATGGTAATTTGTTAACCAATATCCAAAAAGCACTTTTGAGCTATTAAGAACTTACTTAAAAGTGTCCTTGAGTTCCTGAGCAAATTGGAATTTGGAAGTGTTGGTTTTCGAGGAGAGGGGAAAACTGGGTACATGGAGAAAAACCTCTTACAACAAGGGAAAGAATCAACCAGAAAATCAACCCACATTTATGGTGTCAACACCAGGATTAACCCCAGGCCACTTCAGTGGGAGGCAAGTGCTCTTGTACCTCTGTGTCACCCTCGCTCACCAATTATAAATAGGAAAGATCTTTTTTTTAAGAATTCAATTTACTTTTCATCTGTATGAATAAGTCAAAGTGATATAAACTTAAGGTGAGTTTTCCCATGTGAGCAAGACATCCCTACATACCAACAGAGAGAGAAATCAAAAACATATGGGCTAAATGTATCAGAAAAGAGCCGTCAATGGATTTATCATAAAGATTGGGTGGTTGCATTAGGAGTCCACTAAAAAGACAGTATACAAGTTTTTAATACTGTCAACAATTATTCTTATATTTTGTCAAATATTTTTAACTGCTTTATTGTGTTGCCTAACATTTTCAATGAGCGATTTATTATTGGTGATCAGCAAACCAGTACTACCAACTATCCCCAAAATTAATACTCTCAAAAATACCTTTAAAACATTTGTTTTTTTTTTCATATTTACTTGTACCTCAGTGAACAATTTTTTTTTAATGTGGCATTTAATTTTTTATCTTTTGTTGTCATCATTTGCCAGGAAATACCAGAGCTAATATTTCAAGAAGTCGTGAGAGAACATGGGAACACCAAGTGCAAGTAATTGAATGTCACTTAATTATAACCCAACTAAATGACATGTTTTTAAAATATTGCTACAATAGTAGTGATCTCCAGTGGTTAAATGTCTTAACTTAAAGTGACTGAATGATTAAATAAATGAATGGTTGACATTTAAAAACAAAACCAACAAATTTCAAAGCAATCAGGCATTTCTGCTAATTAGAGGCATCAATGATTTTTTCTTTAACCAGTGCCCAAGGCTGTGCTCTAAGGGAAATTGAAGGGAGCCCAGTGCTCTGAACCTGTAAAATCTAGGGTGCCCAGCATATGATTTGTATTAAAAATCTGAGATTTTCTAGTCACCCGAGGGCAAGAGTTAGGCGCCAGGGGCCACCAGGCTCTGCTAGAGCACAGCCCTGAGTGCACCTGATAGTTAGTGTTTGGGAAAAAAGGAAGCATTTTGGGTTCTGTTTCTGTGCTGTATGAATCAGGGGCAGGTAATGGAATTTTAATAAGTCCAATTATTGGACTTCTTTTTCTGGTTTTGTGCATTGGAAAAAGGAAGTCTTTATGAGTACATTCCTGTGCTGTGCCAGTGGGATTGTACAGGTTTAGTTTTAGCCTGATGAGGCTTATTGGGGTTACACAATTTGGGCCCACTCACCAGGTAGTAACCAACCCCCCACATCCCCTCACCGAGGTATTACCTTTTATATTGAAAGAGTCATTATAATATAGAATGATATGATATTACTTTGTGCTTCCAGATGCAGTGGGGATGGGGGCGAGAATTAAATAGAAGTGTGCACAGTTTGTTTGCAGATTTGCTTCAAGTTTGCATGGTTCATGTTTTTTATGTAGGTTCAAGAGAGAAAAAAAGAGCAGTATGATGTCAGCTGACCTCAACAAGGATTTGTTTGTTATCTTTGCATCAGGACCCATAGGTGTGAGTTTATTATTATCGATAACTAGTTGAATGCTGGTAGCCCACATATGAAAGGGGTGGGGGATGCTCATCAGAAATTTGAATTAAACCCCAAAAGAGACTGATCTGGGCATAGCCCAAGCTTTTTTTTACCCCTAAAAGAGACCATGTTAAAACACAGACAATACACATATTTTTATATTTTTTCACGTGCAACCCTAAACGAGACCTTCAGAGCTAAATATGACATTGAGATCAGTTGGGAGAATTTGGACGCAGATACTGGGGCTTGTCAAAAGTTACTTGCTCAAGAGGAAGAAAATCTACTTGTCCTGGACTACTAGATGGAACTTTTTTTTGAGCCCTGTAGAGAACTCTTTTTTCAGTGCTTTACAGCACATTTTTGCAGGCGACAAGAGGAGCATGCAATCCTAATCTCCAGGTTGTTATCGCGCATGCATCGCGTGTATGTAGCCAGAATTCATTTGGACTTCCACTAACAATGAATGGAATGCATGGCATGCAATTTGATCACACGTGTTTGGACCTTCTATCCCTAATAATTTGATCACGTGTGTTTTGACCATTTGTAATGTGAAACTTACACAAAGCACACTGAACGTTGGAACAAAAGTGTTTTGACCTTTGATCGTTGTCGCCCACACTCCATAACCTTTGGTTATTACTAGAAATATTTATTATCCATATTCAGAGTTTTGGCACAGTTTGAATTGATATTAATGTTAAATTATCATCATAGACTGTGACTGAAAAGCTTGCTTTACTTTCTCATAAGTAGGGGAATGTCAAAAGAATTTATGGCATGATTTAGTGTGTAAAGGAAATGGTTTCCGATAGCCTGGGGCTGGTGGATTTTGCTATTGGGCTAGTGAATTCTGTTCTTCACTTGCCCGATGGGCAAGTGAGTTTTTTGGGAGAATTCAAATTATCAATCCTGCTTGTCAATTTTTTTCTTATCTGTACATGCTAGGTACAGCTTGCCCAAATGGCGAGCTGTTAAACTGACTTTCTTTGCACCCTGAGATTGAATAGTGCTTCTCAAGCTGATAATAATGCAAACTTGGAATGAAGTCTAAAGAAACCGTCAGGAAATGATAATCATAATAATGATAATGATAATAACTTTGAATGATCAATTTGGGTCAAATATATGTTGTATTTTTCCATTGTTTTTGGTCATGGTAATGTATGTTAATGAATTTAAAACAAAGGAAAAACAAAAATTAACTGAAATAAAAAATTAACTGCAACGTAGATATTTCAAACTAATTATTATAACAAGGTAGACAGTAATAATAGCAGGTGGCAAACAAGGCAAACCAGTTGTCTCAAGGATTTGAACCCCAGGACTACTCAGTCACGTTTGCTCTGATTATCAATTTGCCGACTTAAAACTTGCTTATTGACGTTTAAACTTCCGAAACTCTTTTGAGGCTGCCCAAAATTTTCAACTTAAAGCCTCAATGTTGTTTGAAATAAAATGAAAACCAGTGGGGAAAACCAGTGGGACTGGACTGTACTCGCCTCAAATGTAACGAAGACTTTTGCCTGTTTTTGTATTTGCACCATTCAGGAGATGATAATTCATTGAGAGAACACAGTTGGAAAGCTCACTCCATGAGCCCTGTCAATCTCGCTGAAATAGAGATTCTTGAAGCTTCCGAATTCGACCTTTTTGTTATTCAACTTCATGGTAGGTTAAAACTTTATTAACTCTTACCTTCGCGGATCAGAATCGCGCGCATTGGATTCCAATTCCCAGCGTTCCCCGCGCCTCTTCTCTAGTCCCTGCGCGTTCACGAACTTACGGCACCACAAACAAGCCTTTATAATGAAGGGAGAGGGGTTCGTAAACAAGACTGCACGCCAGGTTTCCCTTGGAAAAATTAAATGAACTGTTGACAGTGGTGGACGTTGTTTCCCGCCTCTCGTGCCCTCCCGCCTGTTTATCAATTCCTCCTTGCTACCACCCCCCTGTTCTCCGTGGGCACTATACTGTCAAATTTCTATTGTTTGTTTTCTTGTTTTTTTTTAAAGCTATTTTGATGGTAGTGGCATGGGTAGGATTTGCGACAATAGGAATGTTCGTTCCGCGATTCATGAGGACAGTATGGGGTGTAAAAGAAATGTGTGGAAAGAGGATCTGGTTTCAGGTACAGTACTGGTTTTTATGGGTCGTTTAAGCAGTATTTTCAACGCCTATTTGCACAGTCTGTTTTTTTTTGCACACGCTTAAACTTCAACTACATCTGCTTACTTCTATCTGTTTTATGTTACAGTTACATCGAACTCTTATGATACTGACGACAGTATGTACCGTTGCTGGAGCTATTCTTGCTTTTGTGTATGTTGGAAAGTGGTCTGAGGTACTGCTATTGTAATATTATTAGAGACCTTAAGATTCTAAGACGAGAACGACTACGAGTACGAGATTTTCTCAATACTTAGCAGTGCTCGCGCGTGAACCAGAGTCATTTTTGCGCGGAGAACGTGATAGCTGTCGTCATTCTACCACAAGTTTTATCACGAATCTCGTAGTAGCGAAGTTTTATCATTCTGCGATCGGAGAAGGCTTATCCTCCTTCCATGAAGATAACAGTGCTAACTTTCCAGGCGAATCAAAAGTACAATGAATCTTTCCGGGGTGCAGTCTATTTTTTGAGAATAAGCGAAAAGACTTTCAGTCAAATCTCGTACTCGTAGTCTTTTTTCGACTTTTTCGTCGTTAAGGTCTCTATTGACTATCGTGGGCGTATCAAGGCAGGAGGGGAAGGGAGAGGAGGTATTTCTACGTAAGCGTAATCATCAGTTTGTTGTTTTAGAAATCATATGGAAAGTGAACGTGAGCCACGCACGAACACGATTCCCGTACCCTTCACGAACGATTTCGAAAATTGCCGATGGGCACCCGTTCGTTTTTATCAGAAGCGTTACATTCTCCTTTCCCCAAGCGCAAGATCAAAGCAAATGGATGCTATCACTGTGTCACAAGATCTTTGATCGTTCACACGGTTTATTGAATACAATCATTTCAGTGCTGAAGAAATGAACTATGTTTTTATTGCTGTAGGACGCTGGAGCTCATCCAATCATTGGTACTATTGTTCTGTTTTGCTTTTTTAGACCTCCTCCAGATGGAAAAAATTCAACCAGTTTTAGAGTGATCAGCATTTTTCAGACCTCCTCCTGATGATCACAAAAAAGGAAATGATTAAGGGCAACGAATGAGAATTCAAATTTTGATCTCAGGGTTTAAAGGGTTAAATAACTGTTATTTGTTACTTGTTGTTACATTGTTAGTGTGTTGTACAGCTCCTTCAGAAACCACAGTCCTAAGTTTTCCTTCAGAAACCACCAATAAAGCAAAAACCCTTTCCTGCCAAAAGTTTTCTCAAATTTAAGTCTAAAATTTTGAGTCAATTAACAATCATTTAAACCACAACTAATAACCATTGCAATTAAAGGGTATTTCTTGGTTTTGCGGAAAACAGCAAGTGGGGTGTGTCTTTTTAATCTTTTTTGTTACGCCATTTTGCGATTGCACTTGTCCGCAACACCAGGAAACCTACCAGTTAAAAACAAAAATTTTCCATAACTTGAGATTCGTTCTTTGCTCTCAGACGGATGTATTTCAACTGGGCGCATCGAACCTTTGGATTATTAACACTGGCTTTGGCAGGTAAAGGAGAAACATTTAGTCAAACCATGTAATTAATTGTTACTATCTAAAAAAGGGGCAGGTAACGAGCATACGTAGAATGGAAAACTGAAAAACGGGAAGAAAAGAGAGAATGGATAATGACGTCACTGATAGGGCTAGGGGATAAAGTTAGTTTTGTTCCGATTTTTCGTTTTTCCCGTTTCCATTGCCTGCTCCATGTTCCCTGTTCCCCGTTCCGTGTTCCTAATTTTACAACATCCAAATTTTTGTGGCGTGTTCAAAGTAAAATCATGATCATTTCTGATAATCGTAAGCAGGTATTTATAGTATAGAAATTGTATGAGCTTACTTACCATCAGTGATTAATGGATAATGGTGATGTTTTCAAAGTTTTTAAAATTTTACGAAACTTTTATGAACTTTCCTATTGTTACGAGGTTACAAGTACACATTAATGAAGTTGGTGTTGCGTTTCTTAATACGGGCAGGCCTGGGGCCTAACCTTCATGTTCTACTGGTGTGCTTTAGTTGAGTACCATGCCCGGCCAACTGTAAATGAATTTCCATGGGTCAGCTTCGGAAGTCTTCGGCTGCCTTCGCTTTGTTTCAGAACATTTTTAACAGTCTTCGGTTTTGCAGAAAATTCGGTTCAAATTAAACATGGTTAGAAGGCAAAATATTGTGGGCCACTTGGGTTATCAATAATATCGGCATGAAATTATTGGGTAAATGCCGCAGAGTCCAATTTTAGATTAATGATACTCTGTTGCTTTAGAAAGAAGAGCTGTTAAGTGTAAAATGATTCTGGGAAATACAGTTGTATGCACCCCTGGGACTCAATAAAGAATAAGAAAATCTTGCGAATCAGATACGACTGGTCTTTTTTTGAACTTCAGAAATTTATATTTCTCGGGTGACAATGCATGTTTTGAGTAGCTGAGTAGCTCAATGCTAAGTATAATGTCATTGTACTCTAAACGCTTACTTAGACATTTTAAAACTGCTGGGACCGACGTCAAGTTTCCTTGTTACAGAAGTCTGTCCTCCTTAAATAACTGAAGAACGGGCAGCGAACATGTAGGTGTCTACTAAAAAGTGTCTAATAAAAGGATGTTGACTAGTTTTGTTTGTTTTGCTTTTTCTCCTGTAGTGGTAAACATATTTCTGGGTTCAATATTACCAGTATTTCATCTGGAAGTCTCAGCAGTATATGTCATGATAGTATATCTCCTAGCTCTCGCATTCGTAATGGCATTTGAGCTCTACTTGGCTTGTAGCGAAGATAAAAGTGATGAAGATTACCGGGTGCTTGCCAGGCCTCACGATGATGAGGTGGAAGTCGCTCCAGTTCGTGTACGTCAAGCGCAAAGTAACTTAAGAAAGGTAGGTGACTGAACAATTAACTTTACATCTCCCAGCAGCCTAGTCTCTAAGCGTTCACTCTTGCCCCGTTGTCCGCGCGAAGTCTGGGAAAGGGTGGGCCTGTCTCTCTCAGTGATGTCACAGCTCACGGTAGGGTCTAGGATTGACCAGGCGAAAATGCCTTGGGACTGGGATGATCTCCTACAGAGGGAACCTATTTTGTTGCAAGATTTCTGTTACTGTAACTAACGAAATCCTGTGGTGTAACAACATAACCCTTTAAGCCTCAATTTCCACCAACAGATTCTCCAATCTGATCTCCATGTATCTATCTATTTCGGTCACACCCGCACTGATTTTATAAGTCTGTCCCATTCCCGTTTGTTGGCCATGACAGATGCGAGATCCTGCCTCGAAAGACCGCTGTCACTCTCTAGTAGGTCAATAAATGTTGTTTCTGGGCGCCCCCTTGAGCGTCTGCTGTGTTTTGGATCTCAAAGTGTTAGTTGGGAAACAGTCTCATTCTTGCTTCTCCAATAGTGGCCACTTAACTACAGGCGACGTTTTTGAAGACTTATTGAAACTGGAGGAAAATCCCTGTTAGATATATGATCTCTCCAGCTTATGTTTACCGTTGCATGTAGCAGCCTGATCTCCATAGATTTTCCTAAAGAACTATTTGAGAGATTTTGATAAAGACTACACTTCTTCTTCCAAGAATTCCACCTATCTATGACTCCCACATGAATCCAACCTTCAAACCATTTGCAATGCTAATCTGTTTTGTTTTTAATCCACCTCCCAGAAATTCAGGCTTTACAACATCGTGTTTGGAGTACTGATTCTACTTGTTACTGCTGTGTGTCTGGCCATGTTTGTGCTGCTTACCACTCATGAAGATTCCGATGATGAAGAGGCAAAGAGTACAGCCATCCCCGGAATTCACTAAATTCAAATACTTATAGTCTACTACAAAAATCACCGAACGTTCTATGGGCCCTTTGCAGAGAACAGTCACATACGATAAAAACTCCTGATCATTATACGTTTCTGAAAAACTGCCCACCTACCCCTCCCCTAAGCCAACATTAACAGTTACTTCTCACTTAGGGCAAAATGTTGACTAAGGGGAGGGGTAGGTGTGCAGTTTCCCAGAAACGTACAATGATCTTGGTGGACACGAAGGAGTAGGGCAAGTAAAACAAAGAGATTACATCGTTCCCAAAGCTCATCTTTTCTTTTCAAGATCACATTGAGTTGTTTGCCCTCCAGCAAGAAATTTTTCTCCTATGTGACAGTTTCTTTGCAAAGGGCCCAGAGATGTTAGTAGCATAGTTGGGCCTTTTTAGACCGTTCTTTGCGACAGGAGCATAATATCGCCTTGCACGTTTCTCTTAAATGCAATGTAATGCAATCTGAATGCAAACAAGGAAAACAACTAGGACGTTTAGGCAGGTCGCGAAGTAATTTACAGAGAAACGTTATTGCGACTTCTAGTTTTAAAAATTGTGTTGGCCATGTTTATGTTGGTTACCACTCATCACGAATCTGGTGATAACGAAGTAGTCTGTCCTTCCACCGAAATCACTAACATTTTTAAGCCCCCTAATACGAAAACCACTGAACCGTGGTATGGTTGTGAGTAGTACAGTGGGAACCGGTTAAGACCGTTTTTGCGATAGGAGCATAACAATGTCCAGTAGCTTTCTACTGAGTGCAATGCAATTTGGATGCAAACACTTATTACATTTAGAACGTTAAACTAATTTATAGAAAACCTTTTTTGCGACGATACCTGGTGTAAATACAGTCAACTGTCGCCTTGCGGACACCCCGATAATACGGACAGCAGCTAAATCCCCGTAAAAACAAATTACAGACATTTGACTGAAATAAACTCTCGCTATTACGGACACCTGCCGATGAGGACACAAACTCGAGGTCCTTACAGTGTCCGCACTGTAAAAGGGAGTTGACTGTATTGTGGTTATTTTAATTTGAAAGCACCAAACTTGACGGGGGGGAGGGGCTTATCTATGGAGGGAAATTTGCGTTTCATAATCGATTGGGCTAGTCTTATAGTTAGAAGGAAATTTACCGTTTTTGCTCTGGTTTAAGGGGGACTTATATTTGGAGGGGCGATTTAACGGAAGGTTTTTTGCGTTACGAGTTTGGGGGGCTTATATTTGGAGGGGCTTATTTTCGGAATTTTACGGTACCTTCACAGATCGTGTCTCGGTGCTAGTGGTATTTATGTCGTTTTTGTTCTGATTACGAACAGGAATGTACAGAGACCTTTTTCAAAATGGCGCCTTTTTAATATATTCTTTTATACGTATGATAATTAGCCTTTCTGACCTCGTATGAAAGTAAGAATTCTTTTGTACTTTGCACATGTTAACGAGGCCAGAAAGGCTAATTATCATACATTTAAGAGATTAGGTTAATCGGCCGCAATTTTAAAAGAGGTCTGTTGTTCTTCTAGCGTCGTAGTTGCTTTTGCTTATAAAGATAAAAAATGAGTGAATTTTGTAAATAATGAAAATAAAGTCGAACGTTTTTAAATTTTGTGTGCAAATGATTATCCTTTGGTAGATTTTTTGTGTGTAAAGAATATGGGGTTTCCAAAATATCCGAATTGTTGTGGACAGGGCCTTAGTAGCCATACGGCCGGAGATGTTTGGGAGGAAGAGGGTCGTACAGGCGGGGAAGCGGGGCGAGGGGGGGGGGGGGGAGTCCTCTGGCACTGTTCACGGACCAAAAAAATAACTAATCACGACTCACGGATATCAAACTTTCATATCAGTTTTCGAGTCACACAAGCAGTATGTGAAGTACCGCTTTTGATCTTGCTCTTAGGCAAAGGAATAAGTGGCAAAAGAGTGTCTGAAAAAACAGCTTGAAAGTGGCGAAAAGAAAAAGCAAGACTGCAAATAGCAACTTACAAAAATTCATCATTCTCATTTCATGCTTTCATAGCCTTTATTTATCTTTGGGAAGTCTCGAAACTGAAAATCAGTGTTCACGAGAATGAACTATGTTCAAGAATTGTACACAAACTCTTCGCTACGAATTTTACAATTTGACCGAATTCAAATTCACAAAAAAAACTATTAAGCAAATTCAAAAACTATTAATCGAATAAACGAAAATTGTCTCTCTGTCCAAGTCCTTCCAAGTTCTAAACTGTTCTGACTTATGTTTTTTAACACTAGAGTTTTTAATCTCGGTCCATGCAAATTGCCATCACACTTCATCCAATCAGGGCTTGAATGAGTCCCTTAAAGCACGAACATAACTAGTTCATTAGTCCTTTTGTCCAATCAGGGAAAAATAAGTAATAAAGTCACGAATATCGTTTATCAATTCGAGCTGTTCTCGGGGCACGGACAACCTTTTGGTCACGGAACACGAAGAATAATTTATTGAATTCACGATTCAGGAAAAAGAAAAACAAGTAATCACGTAACAAAAAATACACCTGTACGACCCTCTTTGAGGGGTCGCGAATGGGAAAAATTAAGGGCCTTGGCAGTGCTAGATGTCGGTACTTATTTGGCTTGAACGCGAACAGTCGAAACCGCACATACATTTTTTTTATTTTTTACACTCTCGAACTATCGCATATATTTTTGTTCATTTCCCTTTGGATCCTATGGTTGCGCATGACCAGACTTCTTTACACAATACAAAGGCAAGATAGAGATTTACAGCGCAAACTCCGACATGAGCTGCCTTGCAAGCCAGTCTAGTCCTTCATGTAAGCCTTCACCAGAGTGTGCATCACAGGCAAATATGTTCCAACTCCTTCCACAACAGAGCTTGTGAAGAGCGAGTTTTTCTGTCAGCGAATCCACAGTAAGCGCACTCGGTAGGTCCTAATGAAAATAAAATGGGGAGTTTAAAATCTTAGTTTCAACGTCTTGAAATATTTGGACTATTAAAATTTTAAGCGACGCACATAGCCTGAGAAAACGGCCGACATTTCGCGAAGCCTTCGAGTTGTGTTAGAATTTTAATATATCGAATGTGGGTTACTAAAGCTCTTTTTTGGATGTAATATTGTAGTTGTAACACTATACTAAAAATCATGAAAAAAAAAGGTTTTTTTAGACAAACATGTACCTGTTTGTTGGCAAATATCAACAGCAACGCATCTTTCAGTCGTTTCTCTGCCATTAATTTGGCAAGCTCTTCATGAGCCTCAGAAATGCGCTCAATATTTGTGCTGTCAATGACAAAAATCACAGCTGCAGGAAGAAGCAAAAAAGGAAACAATTGAACATAATAATATAGTAACAGTAAAGTGAACTTCCAATAGCACATCACTGTCTTCATAGTTAGCAAGTGCAAAGTTAACCCTTTAAGCGCCAATATCCACATACAATTTCTCCAAACTGATCTTCATACATTTCCTTGAAGAATTAGTTGAGAGAATTTGATAATAGATCAAGGCATTTTCTCTTGGGTGATCACTTTATTAATTCTCATAACTTATCTCTTGACAGGGTATGGATATTGTCAGGAGAAAATTGATCTTTGTCACTATTGGGACTTAAAGGGTTAAAAGGTGTAACACCACTGCAACAACCATGTACCATCAGGCTTGCTGAACGCTGGTAATTCAGATCAACATCCTGAACAACCCTGCACATCACCATTATCCCAATTATCGCCCTGTGTAAGGGAATCCGGATTCCAGATTCCGGAGTCCAAGAAGTTTTGCTTGTGGAATTCAGAATCTAAAAGCAATTTGCTTGTGGAATCCGAATAACTGGGCTTTGGACTCCGAAATCCCACTAACAATTGGAATGCAGAATCCATGGCCTGCAATTCAGAATCCAAGATTGTCTCTGATTCCCTTACCTGGGGAATTGCAATATCCAGAAAAATCAATGTCAAGGTATGGTGTTTATGGCCAAGGCTGATAACACTTACTGAGACCTTGATTATTCTGGATATCACAAAATCTTATCCAATAATATTATTGCTTATTGTTAACATCATCATCATCATCATCATTACTGCCATCATATATTTCTCTATTCAAGCTGCCGGGAGCCTCTAACTACATTTAGACGCTAAAAGTATGTTTAAATACACAGTCATTATTTAAGATGTACTAGTTAACCTTGTGTGTTGAGATAATAATGCCGCCACAATGGGCGGAGTTTCTGCAGTCCACCAACATCCCAAAGAGTGAATTTCAAGCTACGGTGTTCAACTGTCTCCACATTAAAACCTGATGGGAAAAAGAAAAAAATTCTCATTATTTTAAAGTGTAACTTGAATGAATTGAAAGCATAAACTTTTAACAAAACAAGTAAAGTTCAACGGTGGATTCAGACCTTCAGATAAGAGAGGGGGTGCATTGATCCAGACCCTTAGAGAAAAATTTTTTTTCGGCCCTTCAGGCCTCAGTTTGGTCTAAAAACAAGGTGGAAGGGCCCCCCAGTCCCCTCCCCTGCATCCCACACTGAAGTTCATCTTAATTTTATAAAGAACCTAAGGTTTGGTACATATTTACCAATGGTTGTGATTGGTGAGACAAATTCATCTTGTTTCATTTTGAACAAAATTGAAGTTTTCCCAGCACCATCAAGTCCCAGTACAACAAGCCGCATCTCCATTTTTGGACCAATATGAACTCTGTTGTCCTTTGTAAAGGCCACAGGGATGGCAGCATCAGTATCACACAGGCTTGCTATGTTAGTAAACTGCTCCTGTTGCTCTTGTACTGTTTCCAGGAGACTGTGAATACTGTTTCTGGCTTCTATCACCTGAAAGTATTTTTTTGGTAACAAAATATTAATGTATACCACTGATATTAATATTATAAAGGAAATAAAGGGAGATGTAAAGAATCAACCATAGAGGACACAGAAAAAATCTGAGCCCCAGATGGGATTCAAACCCACGACCCTTGCTCCCCAACGAGTCCTCAGTAGCTCAGAGGTCAGAGCATCCGATCTAGAACACGGAGGGTCGTGGGTTCGAATTCCATCTGGGGCTCTGATTTTTTCTGTGTCCTCTTATGGTTGATTCTTTACATCTCCCTTTATTTCCTTTATAATAAAAATATTAATGTACAGTGGATATACTTCGGCCGTCACCTGTTCACAAGGTGGATAGAGCTATCCACTGTATAAATCTCCATCCAGTGGATGACACAATAATATTAGTTTTCCTAATACTTATCTACTGGAAAGTGATTTTTCTGGTGGATAGTGCTTCCTATCCACCATTTGAACAACTGCCACCTGATTTAAGAAAGGAAATTGCAAAGAGACTTATATCACGAGGCTAGCCAGCCATGCTAATTTATTTTAAAATTACCCGAATTTATCAGAATAATACCAATCATGATAGAGTAGTCATGTCCAATACTGTCGACATGATACGAGTGGAAAAATACTTTTCACAACTCGTACGAGCAGACAAGTTGTCTCAACTCGACAGTCGGAGTTGTCGAGTGGCAAATGCATCTCATTAGTTTACTAATAAAGGCAACTAAGTTGTCGAGTCGTACAAGTGGACAAGTTGTCTCGACCCGACAGACAGAGTTGTCGAGTGGAAAATGCATCTCATTAGTCACATTCATTGTTCTTTAAACTACTCACATTCATTGTTCTTTAAACAAAGATCCAACATAAGCCATGCAAACGAACAAGCGCGCAACACACTGTGTATGCCTCGTTCTATAAGCAAAGATCTGGCATAAGCCATGCGGAGGAACAAGCGCACTACACACAGTGTATGCCTCGTTCTATAAGCAAAGATCTGACATAAGCCACGCAAACGAACAAGCGCGCTACACACTGTGTATGCCTCGTTCTATAAGCAAAGATCGGACATAAGCCACGAGAACGAACAAGCGCGCTACACACTGTTTATGCCTTGTTCTATAAGCAAAGATCCGACATAAGCCACGTGAAGGAACAAGCGCGCTACACACTGTGTATACCTTGTTCTATAAGCAAAGATCCGACACAAGCCACGCAAAGAAACAAGCACGCTACACACTGTGTATGCCTCGTTCTATAAGCAAAGATCCGACATAAGCCACGCGAAGGAACAAGTGCGCTACACACTGTGTATACCTCGTTCTATAAGCAAAGATCCGACATAAGCCACGCGAACAAACAAGCGCGCTATATACTGTGTATGACTCGTTCTTTAAGCAAAGATCTGACATTGAGGGCCTCTTCGAGCCTGGTTGACCAGGCTAGCCCGATTTCTGAGATCACGCCTTGCCTCTAAATCCTTTGTAAGGATGTGTTTATATGAGAGGGCCAAGCTGGCTCGGTAAGCAGGCTGGAAATTTTGCCACATGTATTGTATTGCCTGCTGTATTTCCACATCATAAGCATCCCATTTAACTGCAGTGATACAGCTTTAAGAGTTGCAGAAGCTATGAAAGGCATGAAAGTTAAAATTTTTGTGTTTCACCATGTTTTCTCTGTTTCTCGAATTTGGCGCCAGAACTCGTCCCCAGGAACTTTGACCTTTTCTCCTCTCAAAAACGGCCTGAAATTTGTCACATGAACCCAAGGTAAAATTCATCCCGGTAACCGGGCTCATGTGAAGGGGTTCTGAATCAGTATACTGTTGCAGCACTACTCTACAAATATGCCAGCTTACCTCAGCATCACTTCTCTTTAATGCTCTCTCACATTCCACACATACAGATGTAACTTGTGACATAAGAACAGCCATATCTTCCTGTTGCTGACGCAGGGACAGCAACTTTTCTCGAACATAATTATTCACCACAGCAAGCCCAGCTTCTTCTTGTCTGTTGACTGTCTCACGTAGATCATCAAAATATGCCCGCACCTTGTGTCTGGCCTCTTCAGCTGTACCGTCCAGATGCTGAGCAATAACATTACCATGGTCACCCTCGTGCATTGCAACTCCACCTAAAGTACAAGCAATTTTAACAAGTTGACAACCGGCACCAAATCAGAAGACAGAAACACTGAATTCTACAAAAATCAAATACTGCCGTAATAAATAATAAGCCAAATGTCAGTGAAGTGTTACAGTGGAAGAATGTGATGTTACACAAGGCTGCTGCCTAACGGGTGCCCAATCGCCAGATGCTCTGACAGACACGGCATGGTTGCCTAAAACTTATGATTCTTAAGGCAATAGCCTCTATGCCTACTTCCAATGAACGAAGACAGAATTCCCTGCTCATTTTGTGCTTTTGAAACGAAAACATAAAACTTTTGTTTGTCAACCATACACAAAAAATTTCCACTGAAAAAAGTAAACAAACAAGAACTTTTGTGGAAATTAGAAACTCAATCAAATCGAGTTTCGAGATGGGTAAATCAAGTTTCTAGCACCTGCTTACTTATTTAATTTTATCCATCTATAGGCTCCCAGAAATCTCCCAAAAATGTTCTTGGGCAGCAGCCTTGTTATAATAACATTATTATTGATTAGAGTGACTGGGGGTGGGGAAGCAGACAGGGGTAAACCAAAACCCTCCACCGACGGGGTATGGATGTTTTCTAGAACAATAAATTAGATTTTAGCTACCTTCAATTGCCTCAATAACTGAAGTAAGCTTGGCTGCTGACCCATCTACTTCACCAGTAAACGTCCTGACATGCTGAATGACGTTAGTCACAGATGCACGCATATTTTCCGCTTCATTTTCTAAGAGGGTGTGTTTGTGTCCTTGATGCTTTCCATAGTCACGGCACACAAAACACATTAATGAGTTATCTCTACATCCCTCCTCTAAGCAAGTAAATTCAATCACGTGGGCAGAATGCTGTGTGCATTTGGGCTTCTCCTTGGGTCGCTCTGAGACTGGAATTCTCCTGTGCTTTACGAGGGTTTTAGTGGAATGGGTTATCTCTTCACAATCACGACACAAATTGGTTTCACAAACTGTACAATAAATACTTGCTGTATGTTCTTCATTCTCATCACATTGCACTGTATCACTCCCACTATCAACGTCAGGAGATGTAAGTGGTTCATTCAGAACTTGCAGACGTTCAAGAAGTTCCAATAAAGCAAAGTTTTTCTTAAGTCCCCAAACACCCGAGTCACTCAGTTCTGTTGACTGTCTATCAAAGGGACAATGAAGCAGTCGCCCATTTACAGGAAGGCGTGTCAGACAGTCATGACATACTGTATGTCCACACAGTAACAACCTTGGAACTTTGTCACCCTGAAGTTTAAATACATCTTCACAAACTCGACATTCCAACACCTAAAACATGGACAACATACCTTTACTTGCAAACAACAATTTGGAGAATTGGCAAATAATCACAACTGACACAACTGAATGCTCACTAATAATAGTAATAATAATAATAATAGTAAGCAACAAAGAATAAATAAAAAACCTGAAGCTCAGGGGAGAATGGGTTAATAAATAATATACCAGCCATTTTTAATAGCCCATATTCTATATATCAACATTCTAGCATAACTGTGAGGCTTTAATAGGAACAATGTAACACATCTAACACCACGTAACACCGTGTAACACCATATAAAACCGCGTAACACCATGTAAAACCATGTAACACCATGTAACACCATGTAACATCATGTAACATGGCGTAACACAATGAAACACCATGTAACACAGTGTAACACCATGTAACACCGTGTAAAACCATGTAAACCATGTAACACTATGTAACACCGTGTAAAACCATGTAACACCATGTAACGCCGCGTAACATCATGTAACACCGTGTAACAAAAAAAACACCATGTAACACCATATAACACCATGCAACACCATGTAACACTGTGTAACATGTAACACCATGTAGCACCCTGTAACATGGTGTAGCACCCTGTAACACCATGTACCACCCTGAATCATGCTGTAAAACCATGTAACACCGACTAACACTGTGTAACACCATGTAACACCATGTCACACCATGTAACATCATGTAAGACCATGTAACACCAAGCAAAGAACCTGAAGTGATATTGTTATTGGAAATCATGCATTGCTTTTCACAGAATACAGATTAGTTCGTTATCTGCTAGCTGATAACTAACGCTGATTTCCGAAATTAGCTGTAGGCCCTCAGCCAATGAGAAGACAGATAGTGAATACAATGTATAATAATAATAATAATAATAATCATACTTTAATTATTCTTTTCCCTTATTGGGCTTTTCAGGGATAAGGAAACGCATAATTTAAATTGAACATAATATGGTTCACAATCCCAACTGGCCGGAAGCGAATGGGCCGAATCAGTTGGCTATTCTACAAACGTGGTGGAGGATTTGAACTCGGGACAAACGAGAACAAATCCAGCTAGCGGTAGGGGAGGGACTTAAACTCGGGGACTCCGAATTACAAGTCCAGCGCTCTAGCCGCTCGGCCACGCTCCCTCCCAAAAATAAATCCTACGAATACCAATATATAACTGACAGTATTTAGGTCTAAGAAACGAGAAGAAACGAAGGAAATTCTAACCTGCCTTGGGAGGGGTGTATGGCAACGGATAATTTTTAACCTACAATAACTATATCGTATAACTTACAAGGAAAATAAGTAACCCATGTCTAATATAATATACCGAATGACCATTTAAGTAAACTTACATTCTGTCGAGCCTTTGCTTTTGGTAATAAAGGTGTAGCTGAAGCCATGTAAAACGTATCAAGCGGCTTGAAACTGTAGAGTTAACAGTGATCCAAACACTGGTTTGAACAGCGGAGATGAATATCAGTACACGCGCACAAAAGTAACGCGTATTTTTAGGGAGGAAGCCGCTGGTCTTGGTCTTGGCGTTCCAGTCAAAACAAAATGGACGCCGGACTCAGAGAAAGAGAGCATTCGTTGACTTTGAAAGGTATGTTTCTATCTGTATTTGTTCGTATACCTTGTACAGATTGATGCCGTTTGGTCATCCACATCTCCCAGTGATGTTCGATGGACTCTTTCTTGCCTGCAAAAGGTGTTCAAGATTCATAGCTTCTTTTTTGTTGTTTTCTGGTGGGATCTCCTCCAGGGATCTCTCGAAATTCAGCGGAAAATTAGTAATCGCATCATTTTAGCATACTAAAACTATTTCCATTCTCTTCAGCTTTCACTGGACGACCAAATCTTTAGAAAGTTGCTTATGACCCCCCGCCCCACTCCCCCTCCCCCTCCACTCGCGGGTAAACGGAAGTGGTTGCTCAATAAGAATTGTGATTCTCTCAGCAGTGATTTACTGAAAATTTTGTGTACCTGCACTTCAGTAATTTGCTGCCAAATAGTGGGTGGGGCTTATTTTATAGGTACTGTTGAATAGAGTATTACTTGTAATAAAGTATTTTTAAATTATACTTTGTAGTCATGAGACTGACTAGACCATCACTGTACACCAGTGTGCCTGTAACAAATGAATCTCAAGATCTGCCAGGTAAATCACATTTTTTGTAAAAAATTTTATTAGAAGGTTGTGTGGAAAGTTTTCCTTTGTATTCTGCTTATGATGTATTCCATCAATAGTAGTGCGGCAGGGGTATTTTGCTGAAAGCCAAATGAAGAATGCCGAATGACTCTGACTTTAGTGGTTGGGGTTAGAAAACTAGGTGAATCAGGTTCCATTATTTTATGGTCATTAAACTAGGAAAACAGTCCTGAAACTTTATTCACTCAGTTTCCTCACCCTAGTCACCAAACTTCTGCATTTGTCAAATGCGTGTTCTGCATTTGTCAAATGCTGAATGAGATGCAGAATGCCAAATGACTCTGCAGTTTAGTAAATAGTGTCAGGAGATTGATTGAATCAGGGTCATTATTCTGGGAGTGAAAAGTAACCTAAAACTTGATTCACTCAGTTTCCTAACCCTAATCACCAAACTTCAGAGTCATTTGGCATTCTGCCTATGGGGTTCGGTGTTCTGCAAAATACCCCTGCCGGTACAGGTGTCATTTTCACCCTCTGAACAACCATGCAGCATCCTGCTTTATTTTGACAAGCATCTTTTTCATCATTAACTGTAAATTTTATTGCCTGCAGAAATTCCCCTGGCTGTTAGTGATAACCCTTGACTCTACTTTATTATTTTTTTATTAGATCAAGGGCCCTTAATGTAAAAATCTATCTAATTTATACCACATACCAGTATTATTCTTGTTTAATGTGGTTAAATGTAATTTGTAAAATCTATCTGGTCTGGGGCATTTGGGGATCTACCACTGGTTTTACCAGTATTATTCTTGTTTATATCAATTTTCACCAGCTTTTTATTAAACCCAACATATACAGTAAGTAATACATGTATGTATTAGCTAATAATAATGATGATAAAATAAATTATTATAATAATCATAATCATAATAACTAGTATAATAAAAAATTATTATAAATTATAATGATACACTTAACAATAGTTAGTAAAATGGTTTTTCTTAGGAAATACATTTGAGGATGCACATCTATCCGATATAACTTCAGTAAAAGGACTCAGTACCTTTGCTTTAGGGGAATTATTTGTTTTGCCACAGACATTCGGGTAAGTTGAACTGAGATATACTTACTGGTAGTTTGGGACTTAATGTTATGTTATTAATTTTGTAGTTTAACCATTGTGAAAACTGATGAATGGTTATGAACAACAATCATTAATTTTATAAGCTAGATCTGTTCCCTTTCAATACATGTACATTATTTAATCGACTAATATTGACAGCCAATATGGCTGCCAGCCAATCAAAACAGAAATTCTAAGTGACAAAATTAAGAGCATTGTACAAAAGGTAGTAATATTACACAGAACTTTAACTTTTTAAGATTATAATATTGGTGATGTTATTAATTTTATTATTTTATTAACTATTTGTTTTTCTTCACATCACAGAAATATTTTCCTTGGTGAAGTTTTTTCAAGTTATGTTAGTGTCCACAATGACAGTAACCAGCCAGTTAAAGATATTGTTATTAAGGTCTGTATAAAATAAATCTACATTTACTTGTAACTACTATGGAAGCTCTTGTAAGCATTCATCCACCAGACATAAAAAAGGTATTTGTTACTGGGCTGACCGCTGACAAGAATGTAAAAATACAAAGTTTGTATAGGAGTTGACGGAAGTGGGGTCTTGTGAAGGTGGCCTTGCTGTCCACTTACGAGAGCTAGTGTTTGGCTTCCACTGTAAATACTATACGTAGATCTTTTGTAAATCAATTTTCAATTGCTACAACTAATTCATAATAAAATGTAGTATGAAATTATATGCTCTGTAAGACATGCAGAGAAAATCATCTCGGGCACAAGCAATGGCCATGCTACATTGTATCTTTTAGGAAAATAAGAATTTAATTACAGTCTCAAATGCAGACTTATACCAGTCTTTCTGTAGAAACTGAGAAATTTGAACCTCTGTAAAGTTAAATCAACTGCCTTGAGTTTGTCTCTTGACATGTTTCAATAATGGATAGTCTGGACTTTTGTGGAAGTATATAACAACATAATACCAAGTTCAAGGAGATTGATTTAGTCATTACGCTACAAATTTCTTTCAAAATTTCAGACTGATTTGCAAACATCATCTCAAAGATTGACTCTGTCTGGTACATCCAACATGCCAGTTCCTAAACTTGATCCAGAAGAGAGCTTTGATCAGGTTATTCACCATGAAGTGAAAGAACTGGGAACACACATGTGAGTTTTCAAAAATAAAAGTCATCCATGAGCTTCAACCAGATTTTTCCTGCAATAAAGTGCCAGTTACCCATTATTCATGCATTGTTCTTTTGCTTCTTAGCCACATTTATGTCCTGGAATTGGGTAAAGCATGTATATTTCTTGAAAACACACAATGTGCTGATTTAGCAACAGAACGGGAATGTCAGTTGACAACGGCACACGCAAACAAAACGACTGGCTTGACCAATACCAGAGCAGCAAATTGGGCATCAGCAGTTGAGTTTAGTCCTTTCCGCTTGCTTTCCCCTTGGCTTTCTGTAGCTAAATCAGCCAAAATCAGCCTACTATTGAAAGAATATTCATACTCCCTGACCCCTCTCAAGAGAGTTGACAGACAAAATACAAACAAACTTGTGTACAGTGCATGTTCATGTGTTCCAGATCACATTGAAATTTATAAAAGTGCTGGTTTCTACATGAGGAGAGGTGAAATCCTGTCAGAGAAAGGTAGCCTTATTCTTCTGAGGTCCACCAAATATGGGCACAGCACTGAACTAAAGCTTGGCCACATTAGCAAAGGGGAAAGTCCTCTCACCACTGAGCATTCCTCCCCCGCCCCCTTCCCACCAAAAAAACAATAACAATTAATGGCCACAAATCCATTCAGTGGTCCCACCAATTGCCAAGTAGTGTGCCAGTCTACTGGCCATGTGGATTGAACAACAGAAATGTTTGTTGCAACAATTTTGTTTTACTTTTCCTTACAGACTTGTTTGTGCTGTGAGCTATGCAACCATAAATGGCGATAAAATGTACTTTAGGAAATTCTTTAAATTTCAGGTGATTAATTTTGAATTACAAAAATTGCAACAACTTTTAAACTATAAATAAACTCTACAAGGTTCATGCTTTTCTCAACTGATTTTAACTCCACCAGGTCCTTAAACCTCTGGATGTTAAAACAAAGTTTTATAATGCCATGGTAAGCATGAAACTCTTCTTTTGTTTGTGTTTTAGATTGCTTTTCTCATGCAATCATCTGTATTCATTATTTTGATACCATGGTTAATTAAACTCCTGAGGGTTTGTTTTTGTTTGGTGGAAGGATGATGAAGTATTCCTTGAAGCACAAGTACAGAACATAACTTCAAGTCCTATGGTAATGGAGTCAGTACAATTGGAGCCCTCAGCCGTTTACACTGTTACAGACCTCAATTTCATCCCAGCTGACCAGAAAAAGGATGTTAGTGGGTGAGATAAAAGACAGTGTACATTTAATGACTTACATTGTAACGTTTCTTTGGGAAATTATTGGATCATGCCTTTTTTTCTGGGGGGGGGTATGAGATAAGGGCTGTCATTAGTTGCTAGCAGTTGGCTTTTTTAGCCAGCTACTGTAGCAGCAAAATAAGCCGGCTACTCAAGTTTGAAAATGTCAAACATAGCAATTATAGGAAGATTTGTGGGATAAATGACAAGCCACTTTTCCTGCAGGACCAGCCACTTAAAACCATAACGACTGCCCTGAAAGTTAGGGGCAATTTCTCTGGGAGACCTCACTTGTTGGCTTCACCCTCACTCCCGGGGAGGGGGGGGGGGTCCACCTTTGGTACTGTACACTAAACATAACAGGAGTAACTGAAAGGACTCTGTGTTACATTAACAGGGATGAAGCTGTCGCAGAAAGTATATTTGGACGAGGATCGTACATGAACCCAAATGACACAAGGCAGTATCTGTACAAGCTGACACCAGTGCAACCCACGTACAAGAATGTTAAGGTATGAGAATTGCCTCATTATCAAGCATCATTTTACATAAGTTATTCCTCCCTTTAAGGTTTCAGTCAGTGATTTATTTATGACTCACTGGAGGGGTTATAAAAGTCCTCTGTTAAAAAGAGGTGTACAAAATAATTCACTCCTTCCTCCAATGAACGAAAACTTCACAGCCCACCCCTCGACTTCACTCATACTTCATTCAAAACTACAAGACTTCCAAATAACTGATATGCCCTAACCACCTCCTCCCCTCCCCTACCCCCCAACCTAAACACAGATGTTTCCCCTAAATGAGCTGGTGGCATGTGGCACTTTTTTTTCTTTATAACTAGGTTGCAAATGTTGTAGGGAAGTTGGACATTGTATGGAGAACAGCATTTGGGGAAAGGGGAAGACTTCAAACCAGCCAATTACAGAGAGTTGTGAGTACATTATCAAAAGAATTAAATGCTCTTAACATTCTCCATTGTAGACCCTAAAAGATAAACAATAAACTCCTTACAGTGTCAAGAAATACCATGTAGTTAAAGACGGGGAAGACGATTTGCAAAAGCATTGAACAGAGCATTTTCACATGATGTCACGACAGCCATATTGGTGTGCCAAACCAATCCTGTTGGAGTTGGACTCTTTTCTTAATTAAAGGCTTTCTTTTGTTCCAATTTGATATTGGCTCTTTCTATCATTGCAAAGTCATAGAAGAAGGTGGTGAAGAAGATTGGAGGATAAATGAGATAAATTTGATATTGGCTCTTCCTATCATTGCAAAGCGATAGGGGAAGGTGGTGAGACAAGACAAACAAAGAAATTACAATTTAAAAATGATGCCTTTTGTTTGAAAATAAATAATAAATCTCCAAAATGGCGGCTTTGTATAAACTGCAAAGAATTGAGAAGTTACCAAGTGATTAGAAGCTGAAAGATGAGCAGTGGGATCATAATTCCATACAGTTTAACAGATAATGCGGCAATTAAAGACCTTTTCCTTGTTCCTTCAACAAAGGAACATTCTCATTGTCACCATGTTTTTTCTTTACACCTAAAAGGTGCGTAAGGTTATTCCCAGGACTTAGAAGCTTCAAAATTGCCCATAAGTTATCCTTGTCATTTTGTGGCAGCTATGTTTACCAAATGAAGCCAAACATCTTCCCACATACATGCAGTGATAAATAGTAACAGTTCATTTTGTGGAGGCAATAATCATTATTAACAGAATATCATTTTAAACTTTTTTCAGCCTCCTCCCGTGTTAGACATCAAAATGAGCATTGTTCAAATCCCAGATGCCGTTTTAGTGGAAAACAGGTTCCCACTGAAAATAAAACTCAGAAACACTTGGTAAGTAGTGTTTTTGGCAGAAGTTGACCCTTTAAGCCCTAATAATTATCAAAGTTAAATTCCCTTTGTTGCAACTTTACTATACAAATAGTGGAGAGACGTTGTCAAAGTTATCAATAATATTCATCTTTGGTCAAGTCCTTAATTTTGAGTGATGTTCATCGCTCTTGGGTCTAATAGATTTAAGATTAAACAGGAAAACCACTTCATTATGATCAAAAGAGTTTTTACAGTGTACCTGAATATATCAGGACTGGCTTACTTGGTCTAAAAGTAAAGAAGACATAGAAATTGTACCACTGGGTACATAATATTCACGATTTGTGAATTCTTGTTTTTATCAGTGACAGAAAGATGGAATTGAAACTGTTTATGACCAAAAGTAAAGACGGTGGACTGATGTGGTGTGGTACATCTGGAAAGGTATGTCTTGGATATTCTGAAACTTTGAAACACTTTGTTTAATTGTATGGTATTGTAATAAACAGCTTTACAAGAAATTACTCTTTGGTAGTTTTTTCTTTTTCTATTCATACATCACCAAAATGCCTGCCATCAGAAAACCCCTTATGGCAACAAAGGTGAGGTAGGATTTCAACTGAAACAAGATTTTGACGTGTAACATTTTCTAAATCAGTTTTCTGTTGGTATTGTTGTAGAATCTGGGTCCTCTTCTTCCAGGAAATTCAGTGGAATTACATTTCAATCTTCTCCCTCTTGCTGCTGGAATGCAGGTATATGATTTATAGTCTCAATGCAATTCTGATTAAGATTGAAATTTTGAGTTCTCTAACAGTCCTGTACTTTTGCATTGTTTCATTAGTTCAAGGACAGTGTCATGTTGATTTACTTCTTTTATTTACAGTAGTAATCATCTTTCCCATATGTGTACTCAACTGGTTTTGGATGAAATCACGTAACTGCCATATGGTCAGCTCACAGATTGTTTCACATCCATCTAGTTGTCTCTGTTAAGAACAAAAACAGCTGACAGTGCTACACCCTGTCTCTTTTACGTTTTTTACTCTTTGCGGACAAAAAAGAACAGATGGGGAAGTTACAATTTCTGGCAATGACAACGTCTGGTGTCATATCTCTGTGTCATACAGATTAGTTCCCTACTGTCCCTGTAATTTCCCACTTGTGTCCCTGCTTCAGGGTTGTCATTAAGAGCCGGGAGCAGGGGATTTTCCCCAGCTACTAAGAGAGTGGCCCCCAGCTACTTTTATTGGAAAATAGAAGAAAAATAGAACCACAAGAAATGCCTAGCCGTTTGATTCCCTGCCTACTTGTTGTATTTACCCGGCAACTTGAAATCTTAGTGACAACCCTGCTGCTTTAGGCTTCTTGTGTCGCACTAGTGTCCATTTAGTTTACCTTTTGTGCCCCTGTAGTTCACCTCTTGGGCCCTGTGGTGTTCCTCTAGTATGACTCATGAATGTTCCTCCAGTTTCCTTCTTGTACCCCTGTATTTCACCTCTTTTGCCCTGTGGTGTTCCTCTAGTATGACTCAGGAATGTTGCTCCAGTTTCGGTCTTGTACCCCTGTATTTCACCTCTTTTGCCCCTTTAGTGTTCTTATTGTGTCCCTTTAGTTTCCTTTTTGTCCCCGTCTAGTGTACCCCGTGTACCCTGTGGTGTCCCTCTTGTGCACCTTGTGTCCTTCTAGAGTCCCTTTTGTGTCCCTCCCAAGTCCTTGAATTGTCCCGGCCTCTAATCTCCTTCTTCTTAGTCAAGTAGTCCCTTATATCCCACAGAGGAAGGAAAATAAATACCAACAACTGATCAATGTGATACAACTCACTTTGATTCTGAAGATGACTACCCCACAGGTTGTCGAAATGTCCGTCACTGTCAACAACAATCCTTTTCGAGAGTACACTTACCCGGACAATTACATTCCAGGTACTAATGAAGTGTTTTTCTTTGGTTGTTTTCAGAGTGTTGGAGGCTTGCAAATCGTAGACACAATTTCTTCACGGACTTACGAATTGGATAACTTGGCACAAGTTTTTGTTTACTCATCAGAACTTTCACCATTCATTCATCAATCCAAGAGATGATCAATGTGGCTCAATTAAAATAAACAGAGACTTTATAAAGAATCGATTTGAAGCCATAACTATGGTAAATATGGAAACTTCTGCGACACAAGACAAAGAAACTCCTCAAAGAAGAAAAGAGATATTAATGACAAAGAAAACAGATGTCAGTGGGTGTCTAATAACGTTCTGACCACTTACACGACTGTGCTTTAGCTGTGCCCAGTGCCCCACGGTCCCCAACTTTTGCTGTCAGAGGACTAGAAAATCTGAGTTTCTTCATACAAACAATAATTATGCTGAGCACCAAGTTTTCCACGGTCAGAACTCTGAGCTGCTTTCAGATTTCCTTAGAGCATAGCCTTTCAAGACTTATTAACATCATCATCATCATCATCATCATCATCACATAGTTCTCTCTTGATGGTAAACAGGACAAAAAATGTAAAAATCAATGGGTATACCCCGCATCCCAGTGTTAAAGATAAACAACAGATCCATATAATCTCTGCATTTTCTCTTTATTAACTGTTACACCTTACCTCTGCTTTCTACATAAGACCAAAGAATAAAATGATTGGTTCATAAACTTAAAAAACCTTCAAATCTATGAATGGAGCAGGTGTTTCTTAAATCAACAGTCGAAAAAATTGAACTTCTCATTTGAGCTAGCATGACCATGAAATCTGAACAAAAACTAGTGGCATGTTCCTTAACAATGAGAGGATAAAGGCCGAGAAAGCTAATCAGCCATGATTCGCCTTGTTTTGGAGGTAATCTCTTTCTCTGTTTATCTGTAGTGACTAAACAACAAGAAATTCAAACTTGTCCTCTTAGTTATTGTCAGATCTTGATAGTTTTGTTGGGGAATACGTCACAAATTTGGTGCCAGTTTTTGGTTTTATAATTATGGGGTATCTAATGATAGTATATGAAAAATAGTATCCACTCAAAAGATACAGCTTTTTGAAAATTGCATTTTCCATAATTTTCTGTGACTAATAATAACTTGAGAAAAATTTCAAAGAAGTTCTATCAGAGGAATAAGGTTTCTTTTTTTTCTGATCCTTTTTGTTCTCTCTTGTACCAAGCACTGAAGTGGACATCTGCATCAAAAAATAATTCTCTAAGGTATGCACTTGTCTAGGTAAGATGTAAATAAAGATATTATTTTTATCTGTCACTCTTCAGTTCCATTTATGTCATCCTTTCTAAGATATACAATATCTATAGTCAGCCACCGTGTAGTGCTTCTCTCCTTTATAATGAAATGATTTTTGGCAAAGATACATGTGGAGAAGTTGGCACGGATTTCGGCTTGAGGCATAAGGCGGCACTATAATATCAGCAAACACCAAGGATGCTTTCATATACTTGTACAGCTGCAGTCACCCTCTCAAGCTAGGCATTGAACATTATCAACACTAAATGCAGCAAAGTTTGCCATCTGCATACAAAATAGCCAGTTTGTGTGATGTGTCTATAAAATCAGGGTTGAAGTATGTTATCCGAGTATAAAGAAGAGGCTGAAGAAAATCAACATTTTCCATTTGCCATCTGCATGATAATCACATCAGGGTGGACCTTTTGTATCCAAGACAGTTTCTATCTGCATTTATCAACATCTGCTATCCGCATCATAAATAGCCAGCTGTGTGTTCATTACATGTATATCATGGTATAACTTCCTCATCCAAATTTGAACCCAGTCCAACAACAGGCTGTACAAAATTTCCCTCAGCAAAAAAGGACCCAATTGATAGACATCTTGTGTGACACACAGGTTCATTGTTGGACACCTTGGGTCAAAGAGCGAAAAAATATTATGTACATGTATACGAAGCAAGCACTCAGACATGTTAACAACCAGGCCCCGGTTGTTCAAAAGTTGGATAGTGCTATCCACTGGATAAATCACTATCCAGTGGACAAGTATTACAAAAACCGATTGCACCATCCACTGGATAGTGATTTATCCATCGGATAGCCCTATCCACCTTTTGAACAACTGGGCCCAGGCCCCAATTCAAAAGGTGGGTAGCGCTAAGTAATAACTAGTCTTGGTCCTTAACAAATACTTAAAAGGACTTGGCCAACATACAGTTATCCTGACCACATGCTTGGTCAATAACGCAAACACATGTATACTGGTAATATTGTCAAAACATTTACAGTGGAACCTCGATATAACAAAGGGCCAAGGGACTAACAAAATTTGTTCGCTATAGCAAGGTTTCATTATATCAAGATTCTTGTCCATATATTTTACTATTGCTGGGGTAAAGGAAATAATTCGTTACACCGAAGACTTTGTTGTATAGAGGTTCGTTATATTAAGGTTCCACTGTACTAGCAAATGAAGGCATGCAGTGGACATAGAGTGAATGGAGAAGCTCAAATGGACACTTTCTAGTTCATTCAGTACAAACATGAGTGCAGCTGTGAAGCAGACTTACCCAAGCAATACGATAAAGTGATGGTTAATGGTTTTGACCAGAACCTTGTTCTACAACTGAGCTATCAGAAGCCTGTTGCCAGGGGCGATACCCTGTGGTTGTGCCTCCAAACCTCTCTAATTCACTTTCAGTGTTAGCATGACTGGGCAGGAAATAACTGCTGTTGTGTTCCTCATATTCGGACTGGGTCTCATTTGAGCGGGGTCCCCGCCGTCTTCTCAATGATGTTCCAATGCTAACTCTTCCATCTGTGTATTAAGAGATCTTTGTTAAAAAATTGAACCTTTTGTCCTAAATCTCGCAACATTGATTGTCTATAACCTGCAGAACAATGACAAAAAAAGGGGTGGGGTGGCTGGGGGTCACTATTATTATAGCTTATTACTCTAGTATTTCAACAATATTAATTGGTCATGGTAAAAGAAGTTGGCTTTGTTTCTCTCTTCCAAGAGAAAGGAAAAGGGAGAACTCTTGATATGGTGGTGGCCTACAGCTGTATGTTCCCTCGCATCAACTAAGGCCTCAAGAAAAATATTTGTGAAAGAGTGATAGAATAAAAAGCATGCATATACAGGTGCAATGAATTCAAGATCTCAGCTCACCTTCCTCTGTGGATAAATGGATACTCTCTCTTGTGTTACTTCCAAAGATCAGCTGTTGTCCTTCATCATCTGTAAAGAAAAAATGGTTGTGGAACCAAAAATTTGTTGCAGATTAATATTATTAAAGAGTGTTAAATTCAGGCTTTGTACACTACTTCAAGCCAAAAATGAGAAATTCCCAAGACCCTTCTTTGAACTTTCAAGGACTTTACATGCCACTTTTTCACTGAGTGTGAGGGCATTACAGGGAAATCTCAAGACCAAGGCCTTCATGTATTTAGCGAAGTCAAAACATCACATGTAAACGCTGATAACTAGGATAACTAGGAATACATAAATGTGGTGGATAAACACCACAGGCTGGCCTACAACACTACATTACTACACGGTACGCTTCAACAACTCACATTCAACGTCCAGTTGAAGTAAACAACTTAATTAAAAATTTAAGCTGGGGCTTCCACTGTATGCACCTTCTCCTGTGGTTTCTCCTGATGTGTTAGCACAGTTAAGTAGCATCTACTTACCACCATTGAAAGGAACATCGAGTTGAGGAATGTTCTCATGAGCTGCAGGTTGCTGGTTTGGATGTTCATCAACTGGAGGAACATTCACCTCATCTGTGAGTGCAGCAATAGGATCTGCTAACAGGTCTTCTTCTGGATCAGTCTGATGACTCAGGATCACTGGTAACTCATAATGATGGAAGAAGAACAACATGGAATGCTGTTGAAAAGGTAAGGTGGTCGAAAGCAAGTTAAATCTGTAAATTATTAAAGCATAATTATGTAGAATGGAAGTTTAGGTCTTGTTAAAGCAGCGGAGTGCAAGAGCAAAGCACAAGGGCAGAGCACAGAGCATGACATTATTATTTTAGTGATTCTCCTTAATTTTTGCTCAACATTTTCCTTGGTGTTCAGTGACATAACACCTGTTGAAACACATGGTAAAGTTTACAATAGAACCAAAAGTTGGGACTCCACTAACCTTTCCACAACTACCTTTATTTTCACAACAAATATATGTAAATGATTCAAATACCTGTATAAATAGCCATGAAGTCACCAATGCAAGTCCACTGTATTGTCCATTGAAGCGATAATGATACGCATAAAATGCAAAGTGATACAAGTAGAAAAACCTGTGAAAAGCAGTCAAAAAATGCATCAAAACATTGTTGTCATAGGTGGATCATTAGTTCTCAATCACAGCTTTGCCTCATTAGCCCAGAAGAAAAAGTAAGGATCCTACATGATTCAGTGTAAATAGACAGAACTAGATCACAGCTGGGCAAGTCTTTAGATATGCGTATGGACTCCCTTCTTACTCCAACTCAGAAAGAAAAATATATAAATTCAAGAAGCAACACCCCGCTTCCAAATGTACATTTACCAGAAAATAGTGGATTGCTACATAGGTAAATTGGGAAACAAAGGACATTATAATATTCAATCTTCAACCCTCCATCCTCCCCTCCATTCAAAACTGGAGCACATGTTATTTCCTACAGAAGGCGTATAAAATGGTAAATACGAGACTTTGCGGGACCCGGATTTGAGAATTCATGACCAAGACATAAACTAATTAGAGACTTTTGGAAAATAACCCGAAAATGAGACTTCGAGACCAATCACAAACGCTTCCAAGATTTCAGGATCAGGCCAAAATCTTCACAGAACCACGTTTTTCGAAGAAACATTCTATATCCCTTAAAGATAGCTCAAACAGCTTTGTGCTGCTGCTCCCTTACTTAAATTACTTGGACGGAGTAGGGGAGTAATTTTCCTCTTTTGAAGTCAAAGCATAACGTTCAAAAGTGTCTCAACTATTTGTCACCGACCTCAGATGAAATATCTTTAAGGTTTAACCTTGGATTTTGCCCAAAAATACAGGGAAGCTTTAAATGGATAGTTCTAAAATTTAGCAGATAAATGTATGCATTTTCCCAAACCTGAGCCAAAACTTTTTACTCTGTTGTGTGTGACAGCAAATAGCATCATACTGATCAGCTGTCCATACAATAAGAATGATATAAAAGCTTGTTGTGGTGTCATTAAAGAATTCTGACATAATAGCTTCCATTCCTGTTGAAAAAAGAGTAAAAATCAATAAGCAAACACACACAAAGCATTAGGCAAAAAAACTCAACTAGCAAGTTTTTATAATTTTAATTATTTTGAGAAGCCTGGCCTTGAGACTTTGGCAAGCACTGAGCATTATTTATTTTGAACAAAAAATTGTCCACACAGACATGTATAATTTATTGATGTAAAACTCATCTGATCAGTTTTAATAGCATTTCTTCCCATTTCAGAACAATTCAGAAAATTACCTAACCATTTTGTTTTCTTTTATAAATTCATAATCAATTTCTTAGGCCACCAACTTGTAAACTCTTTTCCAGATCAAGTTCTGAAGATGCTTATAATGGCCATTAACTAAGAAGGTATTTTTACCTTTACTAAAACTGGGGATTTCCAAGTGTTATTGCCTAATTTTAAATCCAATTCAAACAAATAAACTTACCCACAAGAGACAAGATCACTGTAAAAAGTGGAGCTGCTGGAAAGGCTATTGTCACATTCAGATCCAACATTTGAAGTAGGTTTACTGACAAAAAGAAATAACACTTCGTTAACACGGTGTAACTGCAACTCAAATAAAAAGAAGCTCTAGCATTAAATGGTGCAGAGGAAGGTGCAGCCCCAATTGAATCACTCATGCAACTTTTCCATGTAACACCTCTTTAATGTTAGGGAGTTTAAGATGCCACAAAGATGATGAAAACGAGAACGTCAAAAAAGCAGTAAGCTGAATAGGCAAAACAAAAACTCTGCACGTGCTGTACACTTTTTTGGACATTTCACTGCCATTACTGCATGAATATGACTTGAAAATACCTAAAATGTACTTTCACATCACATTTTATAGGGACATGAACCAGCAACAACGAAATTATCTTTCTTTTTCTGAACTTGGAAATAATTCATAGGAATTTAACTCCAAGAGACTTTGCTTGCATTTGACAAAGTAGGCCAGTTGGAATAACCGTGATGACGATTGAAAGAACACAAATTCAAATTCTAAGCGACATCTTCGCTGCCATAGCCGTCCTAGTATTTTAAACTCCCTATTAGGTGTCCCTGTGACACAGTTTTTTTCAGGGGCTTTCTCTTTTCTGCCCTTCCTTGAGGTTAACGGGTCATTCGCACTCCCCTTGCTCCACCACACTTCCCTGTTGGATGCACTCCTTATTTGAAATTACTACCAGTATTACAATGTAACTATAACATTTAGGGACAGCCTTAACAAAAAATAGCTTAGACTTACCAATAAACACAAAGATCTGGTGATGACAATACCTCAAAAGCATTGATATTGAAATAGTCTGAAAAATAAAACAATGTAACACGTGAGTGGTACTCACTAAAAAGTTATCTATATTCAGCCTGCCTTTCAGGTTACCGGTCTCTTGTGTTGGGCTATAGCAATAACACATCTGTACTACTGTACCATGTCAACGTCTATGTCAATCATAATTTCAATTTCACAAAGCATCTTCCCATTTGGCAAGTAAATGTCATGCAGAAAAATATTTCAAGTTGTAGAAACCAACAAAGCTGCATCCTTTAATAAAACTAACCACGTTTTACAAAGTAATGAAAATAAACCCTTGAAAAGAATCAGAAAGGCTGCATATTAATGTATGTTATACAGTGCAGCTGTCGTTCAAATTAATTTTATCCTTGGTTTAAATTTTCATTGTCCAATAATTGTTCTTGGGTACGGTGATATTGAAAACAATAGAAAATAAGATTTAAAACAAGGACTAAATTGAGCCACACACATACAAGTAAAAAATAACTCCTTGTTCATAACGTTTCACAAAAGAAAAAACTTACAAAAATGAACATGAGAACTAAGGCCACAAGGTATGAAGTTCGAGCCATCCACATGCTAACAAACCTAAAGTGATCTCCAGTGACAACATTACGCAAATAACCTGCAAAAAAACATGTATGATACTGTTGAACCTGATGGATAAATCACAAGTGATGGGAAAGTACGTCTCGTAAAGGGCTGAAGTCATGGTTAAAGGCTGAAGTCTGGGGAAAATCATATCTAAAAGGCACTCTACAGCTTCGAATCCTTAAAAACCAAGGACTTCAGCAGCATATTTAGGCCCGGGGGGGGCACTTGGGTATTTTTCGGGTGGGTATGTGCCACCCGGGACTACAAATTGGCACCCCGTTCTAAAAAAAATTTCTCCTGAAATTGATACCCCGTTCTAGAAATGGGCCAATTTTTTATACCCCGTTTTAGAATTCGCTTTAAAACTGATACCCGTTCTAGAAATGGGCCAATTTTTTATACTCCGTTCCAGGGTGCAACAAGAGTATAACAGTTTGCTTGTTAACGAATTGAACCGTATTTTTAAAAGCAATCTGTCCTTGAATAATTTCAAATGGCTGCTTACAAAAGTGGAACTTTCGTGCGTTCGAAATATTATACCCCTTTCTAGAAATCGCCTCTGAAATGGATACCCCGTTCTAAACCAGGAGCTTCAAAATCACGACCCCGTTGGGCAGCACATACCCGTATAGGTAATGTATGGGAGTGCCCCCCCCCCGGGTATTTAGGTTTAATGCAAAACTCAGCTTTTACAAAAGGAAGTCACCAGTTGTCAGTGGTGCAGAGCCCTGCAAGCTCAAACTCACTAATCAACAAAACCACTAACCAACTACTCAGTGACAGACCTTTGTTTCCCAAAATGTTCACTGTGAAAAGACCCCAATAGATTTTTAGAGAAAAGGCACACTAAAATATTATTAGTCTAAAACAGCTTGTAACAAAAAAATAATAGAACCAATTAAGTAACATCAGTCTCCCCAGTGACCTATTCAAAACATTACATTCAATACACAACGTACCTTTATTATCCTCGTATTCAGCCAGTCTCTTGACACTTGACATTAGTACATCATCATACCCAAGGAACTCATCCAACAAAAACCGGCTTAAAGCATCGCCAAAACACTGCTCCACAGCAGGGTCTAAACAGAAACAGTTTGGATGATTACACAGTGGCAGGCAGACTCAGGGTGGAGAGTCTAGGGAAAACCATCACTTTCCCTGCTGCCCCCAAGAAAGGCTTGATCCACAACAGGTCTAAACAAAAACAGCCTCCTTAGACAGTGGCAGATCTATGGTAGAGGCACAGTGGTGAGAGCACTTGCCTCCCACCAATGTGGCCCGGGTTCAAATCCCAGTATCGAGCCATATGTGGGTAGAGTTTGTTGTTGGTTCTCTCCTTTGCCCGGAGAAATTTTTCTCCAGGTAGCTCCAGTTTTCCCCTCTCATCAAAAACCAACCCTTCCAAATTCCAATTCGACCAGGATAACACTGAAGTAGATGTAACAACAGTGATGTTGTTACAAATAGTTATGTTCAGTCCTGGGACTCATCTTGTGAAAAATCATGATTCCCAGTCCAGAACCAATGAACCTCCGCTAAAAAAAAAACAAGTCCAAAATTGAAAATGATTGGGCCTTTATGTAACCAGACAGTTACTCTGAAGACAGACTGCACAACTCTGTATTACAGAATACTGAAATATTAAAACATAATCCTTCTATTTTAAAGCACAACAAAGGCTAAAAGAAATATATATCGGTAAACAACAGCCATAATACAGTATAACTGCCACAGAAGTTACACAAATGGACTGGATACATGTATTTCTACAAATACACATGTTCAGATCGACTGATTGATCTTTATGCCCTACAGGACACGTGCCATGAATTATTTTGTGTCTTTGGGGATTTTTTCTTTGGGGCTAACAGGCACCACAGATCACTTGAGGTTTCTGGTTAACTGACCACCTACCCCTTCCCTAAGTCACAGTTTTTCCCTAAGTGAGAAGTAAGTGTTAATGTTGACCTTGGGGAGGGGTTGGTTGTCAGGGGTAGGTGATCAGGTGGTCATCAGGCACTACTAGAACACAGTCCTACACTAACACATTCAAAGACCTGTCACAATAATCTACAGATAAAGAACTTACCCAGTTCCACAAGCAACACGGGAATGCCAAGTTTCTTCCTGGATTCCGGTGACAGCCGCAAGAAGCCATATTCCAAAGCATACTCTACAGCATACTCTTCCTTTGATTCCCCTACACAAAGCAACATTAGGAGTAATTTTATATTACATGTCTTATTAATCCCTCCCCTGCAGACAATCATCTGCCAGAGAAGAATTGCAAATACCGTGTACCATGAAAACTTTGCAGGTTCTAATTTTTGCGAATTTTGCGGATTGACCTGGATGCGCAAAAATTAGTTCCCACAGAAAAAAACGCGCAAAATAAAACGCCGCAAAAATTAACTCCCTTCAGTCAAATTAAAAACTCTGTTTTTAATGGACTTGTTGTGTATGGTAGGGATAGGCTTTTGTTTTGTTTTGCTGTTGATCAGTCCCTTTGTGCAGTAAGATAATACAGTGATTACCATATTATTTTCCATTAAATATGTAAGTAGAGTGAACTTTGACTCAACATAGCGTAAAATAAAAGTTGAAAATACCATATTAAGGTTTCTTCCACTTAAATATTCTGCTACTTGAACAGAGAATCGCAAAAATTAGTTCCCACCAGAAATTTCAGTCATCTCACACCGCAAAAATTTGTTCCCGCAAACCACAAAAACTCGCCAATCCGCAAAATAAAACTCCCGCAAAATTTTCATGCTACACGGTAACTTGTGAAATGTCCTTTGGGCATTTACAAGTAAAAAGGAAATATTTCACCCAACCTGCAGTTAGTTCAAGCTAATTGAGGCAGGGGAACAAAAGGACAAGTACATGTAAGTGGTTTATGACCTACCTTCTACTTTGATCGGTGCCAGCAGTTCAAAGGCACTAGGTACAACAGTGTCTCTAACTGGAAGAGGATTCTTTTGTGGCTTACCATCTGACAAATGACTGTAAACATCTTTCACAGAAGACGAATTCTCTTGATCTGATATAACATCAGCTCCTAATTGACTAATATTTACATGCAAAGGTTCTGAAATATTGCTGTTAGAAGCATTAGTTCTTGTTGTGTCGTTTTCTGATAATCTGCTCATGGCAGCACTTCGTGAAATAACTACTCTAAGGACTCCATCTCTTGGCCATTGATCCTTCACATGATCCAAGCAGTTAATAGGAGTCCTTGAAAATGCATTGTGTATGTACGCTAATATCACAAAACAAGTCATCGCCTGGAAAAAAAAAGAAAAAAAGAAAACATGAATAAACATTTCTACTGTCAAACTGTAATATAACCATGAAAACCTTAATTATGATTATTACCGAGGCCAGTTAGGGTAAAAGTATCGTATGGACAAGTTAACACTATGACTCGTCTATGAAAGTAAGTACACAAATACTGTACATGTACTAGTTGTACATCTCTATAGCCGTTTTTAAATTTTAAAAACCACTGATATTTTGGGGCATTTTTTTACATCAGAAGTAATTTTTTTAACTGGAAATGTTCCCAAAGAGCTAGCACTTCAAACATCAGGTTCTCTATCACCCTACAGCGGCCAATCTGCCCTATCAACTCAGTTAACAAAAACAAATCTTTACATTTCACTCTTCCACTGACACAATACCACAGTTTCTTTGGAAATTAATCAGACTACGATCGCACACAATTAAGATCAAATATTTTTCACAGTCGTTTGTTTTTACGTATGAGGTTTACTACCCCTTTAGTTAAAGCCCTGAGACGTGAGACAATTCTTGAAATCCACTTTTAAACTGAGTGCATGACTGGTTTACAAAGGGGCTTAAAATATATGAAATATTAACCACCTTGTACTAGCTGATCCCAACAAAAAAAATACAACAAAACCACATTTCAATCTTTACACGAAATATAGTATCAAAATATTTGGCACAAATGGTAGCAAAACGGTGAACAAGCTGTAACTTAACTTTTATGAGCAACACTGATAAGTCCCAAAGCTGGGAAATAACCATATATCCCAGAGTACAGTACTGTTCCAAAATGAACATGGTGCTAGTAACAGTAACGTTTTCTAGGCACATGCAAAAGGTTGACCCAGTTGTACACGAATACAACAATATAAAACTATGAAAGGCTGCATATAAAATAATTCAACAACCGAAATAATTACAATCGACTTTAAATACTCTGAGAATAATTTTTGCTCAAAATTCAAACTTGAAAGTCACGAAAAAGTAGGATATTGAACACCAGATATTTTTTCATACCATAAAGCACCAAGTAACGGCTACATTTGCGACAGATTTGCGAAGGTACAGGCCATCGTTCGCATGATTATTCTAATTTTAACATTCAGAAATCATGCAAGGTACTATATTGGTTTGTAATGTGGCCATTACAGGCTTTTACACTTCACGCTTCGTCGCGATTCTAATGTGAGGCTAGGTATTAATGAGCTACAGATGTGTCCTGCGATTCTGCTGTTTCCAAGTGCTGGCTGATTATGTCACAAAATTTTGTTTTAACTACTTTCAAAACAGCTGTGCACACGTAAACATTTCTCTTGAACATCCGGATTTACAAACAAATATATTAACGCACCTTCATGAGAACTCCCATCTCGAGAAGAAGACGAACTGGAGGAGGAAAAGAGCGAGCATACATGAGCGCCATTTTAAAGAACAGGGCGCGGAATAGCCTATCTCTGGCGTTTATGAGCGGATTTGTCCCTTCCACGGGCATTATGACCTTCCAGAATAACTGAGCAATATTTCAGGTCCCTATCATTGAAAATACAGAAGCCCTAAGCGTTTTACGACTACAAAATGTCGCCATCTTCACGACCAAAACCCATCTTACGTGCTGGATTATCTTTGCGATGAAAAGCTTCATGTTTTGATGACGTATTTGGACCCAGATCGCTAGAGAAATCACGGTCGAAATTTATCTGCTTGTACTCGCCCCAGTAGCACGTGGCTGTCACACGAGGCATGGATCTTTTTAAATTTCGACATCTCATTCTGTGCAAACCAGATCGCTTTTCTGGACATCATGGCCGTTAAAAGCGTGTTTTTGCTAGCTGCTTTCCTGACCGGCTGTAATATCATAACCAAGGTCGCTGCAGTGCAAAAAAACACAACGGTATTAATTCTTGGAGGCGGGATTTCAGGAATTGCTGCAGCAAAAACATTGAGCGATCATGGAATTAAGGATTTCATAATCTTGGAAGGAACGGACAGGATCGGCGGACGAATGAGAAAGATGGAGTTTTTCAACAACACCATTGAGCTGGGAGCAAACTGGATTCAAGGAGTCAAGAACAACCCCATTGAAGATTTGGCGCTAAAATGTGGATTAAAAGGAAAGGCTGAGGTCAGATCTTTTGTGATACGAAATGAAACTGGATACAACACAACAATGAAAGGTAAAATGGCGCAACTGAAATATGATGAAGAAGTCCTGGACAAAATACGACTCCAGCGTCGAAAGTTGCACCAGGCGGATATTTCTATGCGCGTTGCATTGCGACTTGCAAACTGGCTTCCTCTCACACCGGAAGAAGATGCTGCAGAATATTTTGAATATGACTTTGAATACGCCGTCCCTCCCAAATACATCTCGTTAAGAACATGGATCGCGGACAATGGGAGTATTCACTCGGTTGGTGGCGAGCAGTTCTTTGTAACCGATCCCAGGGGGTATGTTCACATTGTGGACTGTCTCGCGGATATGTTTCTGGAACCAAAGGATCCACGGCTGCAATTGAACACAACTGTAACGGAAGTGAAATGGAATGAGAACGGTGTTTACGTCACTTCTGACAATGGCGATGTGTACACTGCAGATTACGCTCTGGTCACATTTAGTATTGGTGTACTGAAAAGTGGACTTGTCAAATTTACACCTCAACTGCCCAACTGGAAACTGGAGGCGATTTTCAAGATCAACATGGTTGTCTATACCAAAATTTTCTTAAAATTTCCAGGGAAATTTTGGGACGATAACGAGTACATTCTTTACGCTTCCAAAAGAAGGGGTTATTATTCCATGATGCAGAATCTAGAAGCGGATTCTCGTTTACCAAAAGGAACCAACATCCTTCTGGTCACTGTAACCGGAGACGAATCGGCCAGACTGGAATACCAAAGTGATGAGCAAACACAGGAAGAAATAATGGAGGTACTGAAAAACATGTATGGTCCAAATATCCCTGAGCCACTTGGTATCCACTACCCTAAATGGGGACGGGATCGATATTTCTTCGGATGCTGGTCAAACCTTCCGATCGGAATATCGAGCGACGATTACGTCAATCTTCAGAAGCCAGTCGGGTCTGTATTTTTCTCGGGAGAAGCCACGCACGAGTTGTACAATGGTTACGTTCATGGTGGGTATATAACAGGCGTGCAGCAAGCAGAGAAGATAGCTATGTGCGTAAAGAAAGGTTCGTGCAACTAGAGAAATGTTGCAAAGAAACCAAAAACTGCGAAACCGATCACTTCATGCCCAGAGATGAAACGTTAATCTGATCAGAGCATCTTGATTGACTGCAAATATAGTAGACTGATTCGAACATTTAATCAGTGCGATCATTTCTTCGCCCGCGAAAATTTGTTTGATCAGTTGTTCAAACCATAGGAGGATTAGCTCAGTCTGAGAGCGCTTGACTGCCGCTCAGTAGACCTGCGCTGAGCTGAAGCCGAATCTCATCCTGCTATTGTTACGCTGGTTCTCATTGTTTTTTCGAGTAAGTTCTCTTTAAATCTGTTATTTTGTTGCAAAACATCTCGTTCCGTTGTTGATTCTTCACAACAAAGTTTTTTCGAAATAAGCCAAATATGAGCCTCTTACTACTTTATTTCCAGGGCAAGATTCGGGTTATTTTTTGCCATCCCCGAGAAGTGAAATCTTTTGTGACGAACCTTAGAATGTCTATAGTCGCTAAGGTTATTCTTTCATGTTACGCTTACGCCAAATAGACCTAGTGTTTCATATAACAGTAATAGAATGTCCATTCTCCTGTATACCCATGTATACCCTGTATACCCTGTATACCCATGTATACCCATGTATACCCTGTATACCCTGTATACCCATGTATACCCTGTATACCCTGTATACCCATGTATACCCATGTATACCCTGTATACCCTGTATACCCATGTATACCCTGTATACCCATGTATACCTTGTATACCTTGTATACCCTGTACACCCATGTATACCCTGTATACCCATGTATACCCTGTATACCCATGTATACCCATGTACTCCCAGTATACCCTGTATACCCATGTATACCCTGTATACCCATGTATACCTTGTATACCTTGTATACCCTGTATACCCATGTATACCCATGTACTCCCAGTATACCCTGTATACCCATGTATACCCTGTATACCCATGTATACCTTGTATACCTTGTATACCCTGTATACCCATGTATACCCATGTATACCCTGTATACCCTGTATACCCATGTATACCCTGTATACCCATGTATACCCATGTATACCCTGTATACCCATGTATACCCTGTATACCCTGTATACCCATGTATACCCTGTATACCCATGTATACCTTGTATACCTTGTATACCCTGTACACCCATGTATACCCTGTATACCCATGTATACCCTGTATACCCTGTATACCCATGTATACCCATGTACTCCCAGTATACCCTGTATACCCATGTATACCCTGTATACCCATGTATACCTTGTATACCTTGTATACCCTGTATACCCTGTATACCCATGTATACCCATGTACTCCCTGTATACCCTGTATACCCTGTATACCCTGTATACCCATGTATACCCATGTACTCTCAGTATACCCTGTATATCCTGTATACCCTGTATACCCATGTATACCCTGTATACCCATGTATACCCTGTATACCCATGTATACCTTGTATACCTTGTATACCTTGTATACCCTGTATACCCATGTATACCCATGTACTCCCATTATACCCTGTATACCCATGTATACCCTGTATACCCATGTATACCTTGTATACCTTGTATACCCTGTATACCCATGTATACCCATGTACTCCCAGTATACCCTGTATACCCTGTATACCCTGTATACCCATGTATACCCATGTACTCCCAGTATACCCTGTATACCCTGTATACCCTGTATACCCATGTATACCCTGTATACCCATGTATACCTTGTATACCCTGTATACCCTGTATACCCATCTATACCTTGTATACCCTGTATACCCATGTATACCCATGTACTCCCAGTATACCCTGTATACCCTGTATACTCATGTATACCCTGTATACTGATGTATACCCTGTATACCCTGTATACCGATGTATACCCTGTAGATCCTGTATACCCTGTATACTCATGTATACCCTGTATACCTTGTATACCCTGTATACCTTGTATACCCTGTATACCCATGTATACCTTGTATACCCTGTATACCCTGTATACCCATGTATACCCATGTACTCCCAGTATACCCTGTATACCCTGTATACCCATGTATACCCATGTACTCCCAGTATACCCTGTATACCCTGTATACCCATGTATACCCTGTATACCCATGTATACCTTGTATACCCTGTATACCCTGTATACCCATGTATACCCATGTACTCCCAGTATACCCTGTATACCCTGTATACCCATGTATACCCTGTATACCCATGTATACCTTGTATACCCTGTATACCCTGTATACCCATGTATACCCTGTATACCCTGTATACCCATGTATACCCTGTATACCCATGTATACCTTGTATACCTTGTATACCCTGTATACCCTGTATACCCATGTATACCCATGTACTCCCAGTATACCCTGTATACCCTGTATACTCATGTATACCCTGTATAGTGATGTATACCCTGTATACCCTGTATACCGATGTATACCCTGTAGATCCTGTATACCCTGTATACTCATGTATACCCTGTATACCTTGTATACCCTGTATACCCATGTATACCTTGTATACCCTGTATACCCTGTATACCCATGTATACCCATGTACTCCCAGTATACCCTGTATACCCTGTATACCCATGTATACCCATGTACTCCCAGTATACCCTGTATACCCTGTATACCCATGTATACCCTGTATACCCTGTATACCCATGTATACCTTGTATACCTTGTATACCCTGTATACCCATGTACTCCCAGTATACCCTGTATACCCTGTATACCCATGTATACCCTGTATACCCTGTATACCCATGTATACCTTGTATACCTTGTATACCCTGTATACCCATGTATACCCATGTATACCTGGTATACCTTGTATACCCTGTATACCCTGTATACCCTGTATACCCATGTGCTCCCTGTATACCCTGTATACCCTGTATACTCATGTATACCCTGTATACTGATGTATACCCTGTATACCCATGTGCTCCCTGTATACCCTGTATACCCTGTATACTCATGTATACCCTGTATACTGATGTATACCCTGTATACCCTGTATACCCATGTATACCCATGTACTCCCAGTATACCCTGTATACCCTGTATACCCATGTATACCCATGTACTCCCAGTATACCCTGTATACCCTGTATACCCATGTATACCCTGTATACCCATGTATACCTGGTATACCTTGTATACCCTGTATACCCTGTATACCCTGTATACCCATGTGCTCCCTGTATACCCTGTATACCCTGTATACTCATGTATACCCTGTATACTGATGTATACCCTGTATACCCTGTATACCCTGTATACCCATGTGCTCCCTGTATACCCTGTATACCCTGTATACTCATGTATACCCTGTATACTGATGTATACCCTGTATACCCTGTATACCCATGTATACCCATGTACTCCCAGTATACCCTGTATACCCTGTATACCCTGTATACCCATGTATACCCATGTACTCCCAGTATACCCTGTATACCCTGTATACCCATGTATACCTTGTATACCTTGTATACCCTGTATACCCTGTATACCCTGCATTCCTTGTATACCCATGTATACTTATGTACTCCCTGTATATCCATGTATACACTGTATACCCTGTGTGCCCGGTATACCCTGTCTACCCTTTAGTAAAAAAATCATGTTTGATATACAAAATAAATCTTTTATGTAAACAATTTAATATTGAAAATAAATCAGTTACTTTTAAAAAAAACCCTTCTGCTTTCCTACAGTTTGTCAGTACATTTTAAAAACCACCAAGTCAATCTGATAAGTGCAAACAAAAAAACTAAACTTCTACTCCACCTATACAAACGAAAAAAAGTACTCTGAATTCATTTAGCATATCAGGAAGCCTGAACATAAACGCATCGCCTTCAAATTTAAGATAGGAAATCACAAATCTGAAAGATTTACAATCCGCAAAACTCCCGAAGACCTAAGAATTTGTGATCACTGCAGTCTAAATTGTTGAAAATTAAATACACCTATTATTTCATTGGTCCTTAAAAAGTCTCTTTTCACTAAAATGAATGACGAAATACGTTATTTACAAATTAAAATACTAATGATAAAATCTGTTTTCGTTTTAATATTAATACTGATTCGTACATGCGCAAGCTTACTGCTACCTTCGTCTTCCAAGCATTTGAGAGACGAAAGAAGAATAATGATAATAATAATCGATAAATTATCCCATTCTATTATATCTGTAACTCCTTTGCAATCTTCGTCTTGATATTATTGTATTTCAGTGTACCGGTAACACCACGTTAAAAAATATATAGTAATACTAAATAAACTTGTTGTTGTTGTTGTATTCTTTGTATTTCCTTTATCTTTCCATTTTCAAGAGCAATATCCTATAAATGCGATATCACAGCGACGTCAGTCATTAAATTGACAGATGATGACAATAGAGGGTCATTTGATAAGGTAGAATTCGTAGCCCTTTAATTATTGCTATCATATCATTTTATTTAATTCTACTCATGTTTCTAGAAAATTTATTTTAATTAGGGAAATGATCGCCAGGGTGAAATTGTCGAAGAATGTGTTGGGATTTAATTTTAGGGATATTTATCCATTTCTCGTTTTATTGTTGTTTTGGTTCAGTAGTATTTTAAATGAATAAGATCATTAAACAACATCGATCTAATAGTTAGCATTTCATCATCGATTTGTATATATTTACGTTTTACTAACATTTCAACGTACTTCATAATGTTTTATCCTCAACGAACTATTTCATTAAGGAGGCTGACGACCACCACACCTTTTAGCCTAAAATTGAATGACGATCAAGTAAGAAAGACGGAACACAAATCAAACATGCACATCTCAATGTTAATAATTTCTACTTACATTCTTGTGCTATTTGTGACGTTTGTGACTGGATTTGAGGTGACAGAAAAGCAAAGAGATATATTGATGAAAGCAACAGTGGAATATGAAAACGATATATCAATGAATGAAGAAATGGTAGCCTTTCCTTCTGTCGTCACACCATCACCACCGCCGATTACAGGACCCGATTGGAGACAAGACGCAGATCCTTACTTTTTACTTCCCTATATCCTTTTTGATCCTCTTGGACAACATCCGGCTTTTCGCGCCAAAAAAAGAAAATTGTATTGTCATTTGTGCGCTGAAGATGGAAGATGTTCTTTGCTATCAAGGGGAAGCGTCAATGAATGGAATAATGCAAGAAAAGACAGATCAAATCCCCCAATGTTGTTCGACGTTGAAAGTCCAGTGTTGCTTGTTAGCAAAGTATATAAATGTGAGCATGGTCATGATATACCCGCAAGCTATTTCCACGACACCTCAGAGGATTATACGTGCGTGCCATTTGTTCTCACACACCGATCTGGTATGACTATGCGGTTGGCAGATGAAATTGAAGATTTATTAGATAGAGGATTGGCAATATCGGCTGTTGAAGAGCTCATAAAAGAAAGGTATAAAAGAACATTAAGAAACAGGTTGCTCCGATTTCTAAATGACTCGCACCAAGCGAAAGAATTGGGGTTCACACAGTCAGCTGAGGAGTTAAATTTTGACGTTCCTGGGAACCTTTTTCCCTGCCCTGGTGACAACTTGATAAGAAGCGTTTACGTTGCATCTTTTAATGAGAAAAAACACCTTTTTACAGAGGCAATGAATTCGTTAAATGCTAAATGGATTAGCTGTGACCACACCTTCAAGGCAGCTGCAAATATCGGCTTCGAAAGAAAAGAAGACAGCGCCTGGATTACGCAGTACACATCACTCTTTTGCATAATAAATGAGAAAGGACAAGTAATAAGGTGGTCGTTCGCTATGTCAGAGAATTTTGATGAGGTAAAACCTCTTTTTGAAGCTCTCTCGTTAGACTTCAAAAATCGAGGGGTAAAACTGTCAGGAATATATATAGACAATTGCTGCAAGTGGCGCCACCTGCTCACGTTATATTTCCCAAACGTACCCGTCAAGTTGGATTTGTTTCACGCCATACAAAGAATTACAAAAAAGGTGTCAAAACGTTCTCATATCTTTGCAGAGGTTTGCAAAGATTACTCACTGGTCTTCAGGGATCAGAGAGATCAAGCAATCGAAAGAAAACTTCCAACTCCGGCTCCTGAAGAGATTTTGCGCAACCTAAACAACTTTATCACAAAATGGGTTTCGTATAAGAATTCAAGTGGCGCTCGTGTTATCAGCAAAAGCGTTGAAAAAGAACTAAAAAATATAGAATGTCACGTTAGAAAAGGATGCTTGTCACATATCCCCCCAGGTTGTGGGACAACACGAAACGAACGGCTTCACAGAGAACTGAAGAAAACAACAGTAACAAACCGAATTGGAGTAGATCTTGCAAGAACTCGCGTTGAAAGGACCCTTTTTAACTCAAACAGGAAACGCGATGCAAACTTACCATCTATAGGTGACATGCTCATAAACAGTAGAAAGAAGATTCTGTTAACAGGATTACAGCAATCGAGCAGAGCCCTTGACGAAACCAATAACAAAGTTCACGAAATAAATTTCCATGTGATGACAAATGCTACAGAGGATAAAAAACTAAATTTGAAAACAACATCTATAGAGAATATTTCTCACATACAAACCCGCCTTACATCATTAATCGATAGCAATGACGAGAGTTCTACGTGTAGTGATGGTGAAAACGTGGAGAACAGTTTAAAGGCGGATGTCGAAAACTTTGTCATTCTTAGAAACGCTTTACAGTGGTGGAAAATGAGCAAGATCGTTGAGGAAAAAACGGGGCCAAAACTATTCAATTTCAAGAAGATAGTGACTTATGTTAGACCATTAAAAACAAAGGCATTAATGGAAAATGAAACAGTAGCTGGAGACCCAACAAAAAGTGACAGAAAAAGGCTTACTGAACTAGCCTCGACTTGGGGATTTGACATTGTTGAGGTAACGGGTGACGGCAATTGCCTTTTTACGGCAGTGGCAATGCAATTGCAACAAATGATGAGCTTGAATGCACATAATGAATCATTGTTAATGTCGCACCTTGCGGAACAGATGGGAATAGACACATCTACATCCATCAACGATATTGGTAGCATTCTCAGGAGTAAAGTCGTCCAAGAATTGAAGGGAGAACGAGTAGATTTTTATCAGTCATTTCTGCCCAGTGATGTAAACTTTTTTTCGGAGGCAGATCGTTTTATCCAATCGGGAACGTTTTCAGGTCCGCTAGGCGATCTTATACCTCTAGCAATCGCAAACGTTATTCAAATACCTTTATTTGTCTTAAATCCAAGTTTTTTGACTCCTTTTGTGATGATTTCTCCTGAAGGGATGGTGCCAGCCTCAAACGTCGTCTACCTCGCGTATAATGCAAGTGGTCCAGGACACTATGATGCGCTAATTATCTCCCAACGTGATCAGCAGGAGCGATTCACTTCTGAAACAAACAGCAATCTCGATGCTCTCGAGAGTCAGTCCACGCTTTCCACGGAGAAAGTGCCAATCTCAACTCAAGAAAACCATGTCGATGCGGAGAAAAAATAAATACAAATCAAATGCAAAAGCGTCAAGGAACTACAAAGGCAGGTGCAAGTGCATCAACGAATACGGTACCTGTATGAGCGCATGCAGTTGTTGTGGATGGTGCCAAGGCAAACAATGTGGGGAAACCAAAGGCTTCCTCGAGACAAAAATGTAGAACACCGAGAAAGCGAAGTAAAAAATACAGGCATACCGTGAAAGCGAAACGATCAAGACTTTCACTGGAAGAAAATGACGAAAAAATCAAAGATCCTGGATTGAATGAGCTCGAGTTCTTTGTCATGCATACTATTATCCAGCATGTCAACTCAAAGAATGATGTCAAAAATGACAACAGTCATTTTTGTGACATGTTTAGCAAAATAGTCAAAGTCGTAAATAGTTTCGCTTTTCTAATGGTTCTTCCCATATTTCACCATTCCTTACAGGTGCTTTACGATGAAAAAAGAAAGTATGATAAGCTAAGGAAACGTTAGATACTATATAGTATGTGGCTCTGTACCGTGCATGGACGTAATAGTAAGAGAACACCATATGATCGATAATGAGAACCGTATAATTTTATGCAAAGAATATCAATATAGTGTGCTTACTCTCACCAGATCTATATGAGATTCCCAAGAGATTCTTAACTCATAGTTGTTAAATTCGCTGTAAAGTTTTATTTATCTTTTGAACGCGAACCTGGGAAATGTTACGTTGTAATATTTGTATAAGTTAATGTTCACACCTTTCTTGTAACTAAACCAATACCTCCCTTTGCAGAGTACTATACTGTTTTGAGGTCTATGTAAGTTATGTATGTTTTATGTAATTTGCATCCTTCAAAGTAAAACCCTGTTTCCTCTTTTGATGTCCAAACCACCCCTGCGGAGAAATTTTAAGAGTTATAAGAAGTTGATATTATGCAGTAAACATCTAAAGTCGGTGGCCTTGGTAAATCACAATAAATTGAGCGATGAAGTTATTGTGTATTACCTAATTGTTTATCAGTTTAGCCTACTTCGGAATTTACATTGCCTTAGCCAATAATGTAACGCCGGACCAAATAATGAGTAATTAAAATAATAAGTAATTAAAAGTTTCATCTGATGAGGATAAAGGCTGTCCTTAATCAAAAATGCGAAAACTGTGTACTTAGCAATGGTTGAATGAGCTCATTCAAGCAATTTCTTTCGGACTCAAAGGGGAGTTAGGTAAGCCTGTCCCCTTTCCCCATATTTGTTTATTCTTGCTGCGGAGATCTTGGCCAAGACCGTCCGAAACAACAAGGACATAACAGGTTTTTCTCTGGGTAATGACGAAGTTAAGATAAGCCAACACGCTGATGATACCACTCTTGTCTTAGACGGTTGAGAGAAATCCCTTATACCATAATCCCTTATATATTTTTGTCAGATCTCCGGCCTCAAGTTAAACGATAGCACAACGGAAGCCCTTTGGATCGGTTCTAAGACAGCACATGAACAAATCCTTGTTTCAGGAAAGAAGTTTAAATGGCCAAAATATAAAGTCAAACACTTGGTCTGTGGCTGTCAACCGATCCGGACATGGCTTTGACGTTGAATTACAACGAAAAAACTGAAAACATTAGGAAGCTTTTGAGTTGCTGGAAATATTGCAGGCTCACGTTGTTAGGGAAAATTACACTTAACTCACTGACCGCATCACAACTGGTATACTTGCTCTTCCCTTTTACGCTCAAATCATTACGCTACAAAGGAAATAAATTACATGTTTTACCATTTTCTATGGAATGGTGAAGGTGACAAAATCAAGAGAAAAGTTATAATCAATGAACCTGAGTATGGAGGTCTGAAGATGATTGACCTTTATCCTTTCAACAAATGTCTTAAAACAACATGGGTTAAAAAGTACTTGGACGCTACTTAAAACGGAAAATGGAACGTTATCTTTGATCTATAACTGGAGAACTACGGCCGCGATCTCATTTTCCGTGGTAATCTCAACCGTTGAGACTCAACGTCTCTGACACTATGAAAGAGATTAGGGCAACGGACCCCGTAACTAAAGAAAAATTGGAATATTGGAAAGAAATAAACTTTGTGGATAAAGTAAGTTCTGATATCGCTTGTCAAGAACAGGTTCTGTGGTTCAACTCTTTGATAAGGATAGATAATGAAAAATTTCTTTTTTAAAGAGTGGTTTGAAATAAGTATCTCCAAAGTTAAACACGTCCAAACGGGAAACGATAATTTTCTGACTCTCAAATATTTTGCCTCCAAACATGATTTAAGAGTATGCCCGCTCAGTTTTTACGGTTTACTATCAGCTGTTCAACGAATTCGCAAAAATGTTGCCGATACTGCTGAGACAAAAGACTATAACTTTAAAACACCGAGTGAAAACTGAATTGTTAAAAGAGAAAAGCTAGGTCCACTAATTTACCAAAAGCTGACCAGAGCCAATAGTCTAACCGCACGTAAAAGCCAACTAAAATGACTTCAAGACTGTAACTACTCAGACCAAGAAGGAACATTTAACTAAGAACTTGCCTATTCTATGGCGCAAAGTACGGTGCACAAAAAGCAACAAACTGAGTTCCAATTTATACTATCACATAGGCGCATACCAACCAATGATTTCTGACTTAAAATAGGACGAAACGAAAATGACATATATGCCTTTTGCAACAATTCCTCAGACACGCTAATTCATCTTTTTTGGCCTTGCCATGTTACATGAGTATACAGGGTATAAAGGGTATACATGGGTATACAGGGTATACATGAGTATACAGGGTATACAGGGTATACAAGGTATACAGGGTATACAGGGTATACAGGGTATACTGGGAGTACATGGGTATACATGGGTATACAGGGTATACAGGGTATACTGGGAGTACATGGGTATACATGGGTATACAGGGTATACAGGGTATACAGGGTATACTGGGAGTACATGGGTATACATGGGTATACAGGGTATACAGGGTATACAAGGTATACAAGGTATACATGGGTATACAGGGTATACAAGGTATACATGAGTATACAGGGTATACATGAGTATACAAGGTATACATGGGTATACAGGGTATACTGGGAGTACATGGGTATACAGGGGTATACAGGGTATACTAGGAGTACATGGGTATACATGGGTATACAGGGTATACTGGGAGTACATGGGTATACATGGGTATACAGGGTATACAGGGTATACTGGGAGTACATGGGTATACATGGGTATACAGGGTATACAGGGTATACAGGGTATACTGGGAGTACATGGGTATACATGGGTATACAGGGTATACACAAGGGTATACAGGGTATACAAGGTATACACATGAGGTATACAGGGTATACAGGGTATACAGGGTATACAGGGGGTATACAGGGTATACATGGGCATACAGGGTATACAGGGTATACATGGGTATACAGGGTATACAGGGTATACAGGGTATACATAGGTATACAGGGTATACAGGTATACAGGGTATACATGGCATAGGGTATACATAGGGTATACAGGTATACATGGGCATACAGGGTATACAGGGGTATGGTATACAGGGTATACAGGTATACAGGGTATGGGTATACAGGGTACATGGGTATACAGGGTATACAGGGTATACATAGGCATACAGGGCATACAGGGCATACAGGGTATACATGGGTATACAGGGTATACATGGGCATACAGGGCATACAGGGGTATACAAGGGTATAGTATACATAGGTATACAGGGCATACAGGGTATACATGGGTATACAGGGTATACAGGGTATACATGTATACAGGGTATACAGGGTATACAGGCATACATACATACAGGGTATACAGGGTATACAGGGTATACATAGGTATACAGGGTATACAGGGCATACAGGGTATACATGGGTATACAGGGTATACAGGGTATACATGGGCATACATACAGGGCATACATGGGTGGTATACAGGGTATACATGGGCATACAGGGTATACAGGGCATACAGGGCATATACAGGGTATACAGGGCATACAGGGTATACAGGGTATACATAGGTATAGGCATACAGGGTATACAGGGTATACATACGTATACAGGGTATACAGGGTATACAGGGTATACAGGGTATACAGGGTATACACAGGTATACAGGGTATACAGGGTATACAGGGTATACATGGGCATACATACAGGGCATACATACAGGGTATACAGGGTACATGGGCATACAGGGTATACAGGGTATACAGGGTATACATAGGTATACAGGGCATACAGGGTATACACAGGTATACAGGGTATACATGGGTATACATAGGCATACAGGGCATACAGGGTATACATGGGTATACAGGGTATACAGGGTACATAGGCAGGGTATACAGGTATACAGGGTATATACATAGGGTGCGGGGGTATACAGGGTATACAAGGGTATACATGGGCATACAGGGCATACATGGGCATACATGGGTATACAGGGCATACAGGGTATATACAGGGTATACAGGGTATACAGGGTATACAGGGTATACATGGGTATACAGGGTATATACAGGGTATACAGGGTATACAGGGTATACATACATGGGTATACAGGGTATACATGGGTATACAGGGTATACATGGGCATACATAGGTATACAGGGCATACATGGGTATACAGGGTATACATGGGGTATACAGGGTATACAGGGTATACAGGGTATACAGGGTATACAGGGTATACATAGGCATATACAGGGGTATACAGGGTATACAAAATACATGGGTATGTATGGGTATACAAGGGTATACATGGGTATACAGGTATACATGGGTATACAGGGTATACATGGGTATACAGGGTATACAGGGTATACATAGGCATACAGGGTATACATGGGTATACAGGGTATACATGGGTATACAGGGTATACAGGGTACATACATACAGGTATATACAGGGTATACAGGGTATACATGGGTATACAGGGTATACATGGGTATACAGGGTATACAGGGTATACACAGGTATACATGGGTATACAGGGTATACAGGGTATACAGGGTATACAGGGTATACATAGGGTATACAGGGTATACAGGGTATACATACATAGGTATACAGGGTATACATAGGTATACAGGGTATACACATACAGGGTATACAGGGTATACAGGGTATACATGGGTATACAGGGTATACAGGGTATACAGGATATACATAGGTATACAGGGTATACATGCGTATACAGGGTATACAGGTTATACAGGGTATACAGGGTATAATATGAGGGAATACAGGAGATAAACAATCTATTACTATTACATGAAGGATATATCTAACCAACTGAGTGACCAGGCCTTCTCATTTAGTAAGACAGGGCTTTCTTTCCGCAGCTGAAAAAGTTGCGTTTATATCTATAACTGCGTTAATCTTCTTTACACTTAATCCCTCGTCCGAATTTCTGATCTAATATGTGAACATATAGCCTAGTAGTAGCTCAACCAATCACAACGCAGTATTGATAATAGATCACCAGTTGGATTTTACTAAATACCTTTATTCTGTAAAACGCTGGCGTGGTAGCCTCCAAGGCAGACGTTGGCATCTACCTCACTATGTTCATTTGGGCAATCCCTGTGTAATCTTACATATTGATTAGTAATTTTATGTTATTGTTGCATTTATTGTTGTAATTTTTATTATTTAACGCAGTCTGCGATACTCTGTTAAGAATGAGGACTTAATTGGTAAATAATGAAATTAATTAATGAAATAAACGCGTGAGACAAAATAACGTCTGTGTGGGAGGCTACTAAAGGGCAAGACCAAAAACGTAGCCTTCGTAGATGGCGGGATCAGAAGACGAGCGCTGTAGTTTTTTTTAAAGCGGAGTCGCGTGAAAGTTAGTTGACTGCAAAACAGTCGGTTTTTTCTCAAAATCAGTAAACAAATCGGTAAAGCGTGGCGTAAGAGTCTTACGCGCTAAGCGCGCGAGTCTCACACGCGTGTGAGGCGAGAGTTTTACCGTCTCTCCCCAGTCTCACTTTCCGTTTTCAGCCTCGTTCCAGACCTCTTGTTTGACTGCTCGCATGTAAATACGGACTGTTTTACAGTTAAGAAAGTTAGGAACAAGCAGGAGCCTTACAGAAACATCGCTATTGTGACACTCGTGTCATTATCACGTGCTTGCCACGAGGAATATATTTTTTTTATTTCCGGTAATCATGGTATTTTAAAAGTATCAAATGAAAACAAGATGGCCATTAAAGATTTCTTTTATTTAGTTGCTTTCTTGACTTGTTGCGGTATCATAACTCAGCTGACAGCTAAGGTTGCCGAAAAGCAGAAGAGCACAACGGTATTAATTCTCGGAGGTGGGATTTCAGGAATTGCTGCAGCAAAGACATTGAGTGATCATGGAATTAAAGATTTCATAATCTTGGAAGGAACGGACAGGATCGGCGGACGAATGAGAAAGATGCAGTTCTTCAACACCACTATCGAGCTTGGAGCGAATTGGATTCAAGGAGTCAAGAATAATCCCATCACGGATTTAGCTCTGATATGTGGCTTAAAGGGAAAGCTTGAAAACGGAAATTTCGTGATTAGAAATGAAAGCGGATTTAACACAACAATGAAAGGAAATATGGCACAGTTGAAGCGTGCTGAAGAGATCTTGAATAAAATAAGACTTCATCGTCGAAAGCTGCATAAAGGAGATATTTCTATCCGCGTTGCATTGAGGCTGGCCAACTGGCTTCCGGTTACGCCAGAAGAGGATGCCGCGGAATATTTTCAATATGACTTTGAATACGCTGTCCCTCCCAAATACACCTCGTTAAGAACATGGATCGCGGACAATGGGAGTATTCACTCAGTTGGTGGCGCAGGGTTCTTTGTAACCGATCCCAGGGGGTATGTTCACATTGTCGACTGTCTTGCGGATATGTTTCTGGAACCAAAGGATCCACGGTTACAATTGAACACAACTGTAACGGAAGTAAATTGGAATGAGAAAGGTGTTTGCGTTACTTCCGTTAATGGGGATGTGTACACCGCAGACTATGCTCTGGTCACATTTAGTATTGGTGTACTGAAAAGCGGACTAGTTAAATTTACACCTCAACTGCCCAAATGGATTTTGGAGCCCATTTTTAAGGTGAACATGGCCATTTATACCAAAATTTTCTTAAAATTTCCAACGAAATTCTGGGACGATAACGAGTATATTCTTTACGCATCTAGACGTAGGGGTTATTACACTACAATGCAGGACCTGGAAGCGGATTCTCGTTTACCAAAAGGAACCAACATCCTTCTGATCACTGTAACAGGGGAGGAGTCGGTCAGACTGCAATACCAGAGTAATGAACAAACCCAAACAGAAATAATGGAGGTACTGAAAAACATGTATGGTCCTAAAATTCCGGATCCACTTGGTATCTTCTACCCAAAATGGGGGCTGGATCCGTATTTCCTGGGATCCTACTCGAACGTACCAATCGGGATATCAAGTAGTGATTTCGCCCATCTTCGGAGGCCAGTCGGAGCCGTGTTTTTCTCGGGAGAGGCGACGCACGAGTTGTACAATGGCTACGTACATGGTGGCTACATAACAGGGGTGGAGCAGGGTAAAAAGATAGCGAAGTGTGTGACGAAAGGATCGTGCAGCTAGACACAAAATTGGGTAAGCGAGCGGGACGGCACTGTATTAGACTGGGGTTTACGTATGTATGATCTTTTCGGCTGAAAAAAAAATAAAAGAATAAACGAGGGAAGTTTTCATTTTCACATTTTAATCAATTGTATTTCTCTGTTTTCTATTCATAATTCTCATTACCGAAAATTACAATGAAAATTTCAAATAATAAAACAAAAATATTGACATTGGTACAACCCCTCGTTTTAAACAAGGGAAAATATTTGAGTACAGATATTTGGAATGTATTCTTCCTAATAATAAGCTAGCCCATCATCGTAAGCTTGAAAAAAAATCAAACTTTCATAGCTACTTTCCTTTAAATTTATTCTTATTTTATAAATGTAACATCAGTATTTTTCAATAATACATTACATGTACATATTTGTTACCGAAATTTGTCGGCAAATGGCTTCAACATTCACGTGGAAACCAGTATATCTCCATATAAAATTAATTCAAAACATTTTGTATTTGATTAGCCTATTATAAAAAGGGGATAAAAATAATAAATTGGTTATAAACGGGGAAACGCTTGAGTTCGCCATGATACGTAGAGCTGGCCGACAAAAATCACTATTGAAAAGTTAGCGTCTTATAACATATGACATCACTTTACTTTGAGTTCCCGCATGAGGCAAAAAAACCTCACCCTCAACTCTGCAATCAAGAAAATGATATATAATTGAAGAATGACAGAAATTGAAGATCCCCCCCTGCTGTGTTTTTGAATTATATTGAATTTTAGTTTTTAAAACATCAATGGGCGATCCCTGCATTCGTAATACTCAATCCCCAAATCAAGCATTTTAACGTCAAACTGAGTTGTTTTAGGTCTATGGGGGAAATGGACAGTCTAATAAGCTGCACCCCCTTCTCACTCGCACCAGGCTCTACGCAGTTTCTGAAGAGGCGGGAAATGTTAACTAGCTTATCTTTCAACTGCGCGTGCCCTCATAAAACAGAAAAAACTTGCATTTAGGCAAGCGAATAAGAAGCGCCGTCTCTATCACATGACTCTCAACCATCATCGCAAGTTCTTAAGAATGGCCAGCGGTTTCATGACCTGTTTTAGCTTTTCGGACCTCTGTGATGCTGTTGAACAGGTAGATAAGTTGTCCCCAGGCAATCTTGAACGGTAAATTTCAGGATACGTCTTTTCGAACTGCGAAAGTCAAAAGAAAAAACACCGTGAACAAAGTTTGCAAGTTGTTGTGAAAGTTATTGCTTTTATCTTAAGTGGTAAAAATACCCGTTTTTGCAGGAGGATAGGCTCCTGGTTTTTGCTTCTCTTCCTCACCCGTGATGGAAGTTTCATTTCTACTCGACGTCTCTAAGCGTCTCTGCAGCAATAAAAGAGCCAAAAAAACGTGGGAACTTTGCTTCGCACATGATTTCAATAAACATGGGTAACAAATACATCATTTTCCAGGATCTTCTGTGAAAAAAACAATACAGCAAATTACAGGAATCGAAACCCCGACATGACCACGCCTTTCCGGTACACTGCATCTCATCATGCGATACAGGCTTTACCGGTCGTTTCGACACAAGTTGATTCAGCCGATGTGTAGTTTCGAGAAGTTAGCTTATAGAACGAGGAATACTCACGCCATCGGTTTTTCTTGTTCACGCGCTATCGATACTGTAAGTGTCAGTGATCGAAATTGTCCAGCAGATTCACTGAGACGACTTTGTGTCGAAATGACCGGACCAGTATCGCGTCGGGATTGCCAGTCTGAGTTTACGAACCTGTTTCAGTTGTCTCTTTCTCTCTTTTGCGCTGATGCTCTCGTCCACGATTATTTTGTTGAGAAGGTCCTTCAATGAACGCTGCGATGTGATCAATGACTGCTCTTTGAACTCTTGTGGCGTGACCTTCTCACAGTAGGATTTGACAGAGGGAAGAGCTTGGGATGGTACTGTCAACTAGAATATCACACGCTTAATGTCACTGATCAGGCGAAAGAAGTTGGGAAACTGACTTAGGACACTATCGAAACAACCAAAGACGTTGACGTTCGCCAAATGACCGTAAATCTCAAGATCTTTATGTGTACCAAATAATTACTAAGAGTGTGCAGTTGCAAGTACATTTTAGATTTGTGGTGCTTAGAAATGTTCCATCAAGGATTACTTGATCCTTCCATGTGGACAGAGGAAAGGGTTTATTTGTGTTTGGGTGTCGTCGTATATGTGTACTCTCACACAAAAAATTGCCCCAAACAATAACTATAAAGAGTGCGCCTTTGTAAACGCTCTTGAAAGAGGAAAGGGTTTATTTGGGCTTTGGGTGTGGCCATACCTTGTTATCACGACAATTTCTAAGGAATAAGAGACGCTGCTCCACTTGAAACTGAAGTCCCTCGGGATTCTGCAAATGTACATCACATACCAGTTAATGAAAAGAGGAAATACCGTGATTTGCAGGTGCTAGTTATTTTTTTGGTTAGTGTTTACAAAGCACATGAGGAAAAGACGCGAAGGGGAGAGGGCCCTCCCCTCCTTTCCTCTCCTTGAGCACGAACATCCTCGTTGAGTCTCGCTTCGGAGCTTAAGCAGCGAGAACGGTAAAAACGCAATGCGTTTAATTAGCAAAACAACAACTCTACACTTACATCTGACAAGCCTATTTTCACTTTTTGTGGAACCCGTGAACACGAGAAAACGACTTTCTTTTTCTTTTCCTGCACTTCGATACAGTCTTTTGGAATTCAACTCCAGAAAAAACTGCCAACATTTGACGAATTGAACGCTAGGGAATAAGCGCGACAAAGTTTGAATAAACGCAACTTAACTTTTTAGGAGACGTTTTCGTAGCCGCCCCCGTCCGCGTTGTTGCTTAAGCTCCCCCCGGTATTGGTTTTAAGAATTCAGTAGAAAATCTGATGTAGTTTGCCAAGCGATATTTACCTTGAAGTATTCCGGAAATTTTTCCAGCATAAAGTACAGAAGTCTGATAACATCCATGTCGGCTGTTACACCAAATATGGCATGGCTAAAAGACTGGATCAACTGTCAATGCAAGACAATAATAAACGTTTTAAAACATAAAGACTTGATGTGGAAAAGAGTGGGTTTCTTGTAATGTCGGAGAAAACGTGACCGTATGAACCAGAGTGCTGTACAAGCAAGGAGATGGTCAGGTGGTAGGCATTGTTGAAAATTAACTAGTATTATGACTCATGGGTGATATTATACAGAGATATCTGTGATAGAAACTTGAAGCTCAATACATTCCCACCAATTTTAATTACCTTTTCTTTTGTAGGTAAATCATCACTTAACGAAAGTGCATGATTGTCTAGTAGGCGAACCATAAATTTCAACAGCACTTGTAGCAATTCTCTGTTCTTTACGGGAATCATTAAACAGCAGTACTGCAGAGATCGCATGGCTGTAAGCTTGCATTTAAACAGATAATCTGAAGAATAATAAGACAGTATAAATTCAGTTTCATTAATAACTTACCATTAGATTATCATAAAAATTGTTAAAATTTTTTAAACTACCCTATTATTTAATAATGAATGGAGGCACCACTGTGGCTTTAGTAGCTTGTGTTGGGCCAGAAACAAAAGGAAAATGAGGCCAAAAGAACTCCCTAGCTAGCCAGTGGCATATCTAGACCTTCAGATAGGGGAGGGGGTGGGGGCACGGTCATCCAGAGCTGGAGATAAGGGGGAGGGGCAGTCTCCAAACAAATTTTTTTCGGCCCTTAGGGACTCAGTTTGGTCTGAAAATAAGGGGTGGGCGCCCCTCCCCTGGATCTGATCTAACCTAACCCTAACTCTGTTCAGTATCCCACCTACTTGTATATACCCAGCAACCTGAAATTTTTAGAGACAGCCCTGGGTGTTGCCTGTAATCTGACATAAACACCAACAAAAACCATTTGTTTGTTATCATTATTATTATTATCATCATCACTATTATAATTATTATCACTATTATTATTATTATTATTTCTAAGATTATTATTATTACCAACTATTTTCTTGAAGACTAGTAGCATTCGCTTTGGAACTAGTGGACATCTTTCTTCTTCATCAAAATACTCCACGACTGCTTTGAACACATCTCGCTCAAAACCTGCATACTTGGGAAAGCTTTGCTTTGAAAAATCTCCATTTGGCCCTAAATTTTAAACATATCATGAAAAAAAAAAACACTAATAATTTAGTCCGTACAGAAAAATTTGGGAAAAGTTTTGGCATTTAAAAGACCTATAATGGATTTTGTTTCCAATAATTACCACAAATAATTTCATTATAAAGGCACTAAGGTTTATCCAAAGGTATATGCAACCCTTCCATGTTGAGAATTAAACACTAAAACTGTTGTATTTTAATTAACCATGTTCATAGCAACCAGCGGAAATCCTGGCCCCCAGCCCTTTGTGACGCTGCCCTACAGAGTTACACACTAGGCTATTTCTGGGAGGTATGACAAACATCAAAATTTCATTACTTCCATAGTAGACTTTCCTTTGTTAGAGAAACAAAGCAATTATAGTATAACCAGTTGTTTTTACTGTGCCTTTCTAAAACACACAAACTCTGAAGTTCAAAAGCTGCCTTCACAATTTTGCATTTTTCGCCTGCCATCAATCATTTATTAGGATCACAGGCAATGAACCTTGAAACACATAAAACGGATCAAATGCAACTAATCACAAACCATGACCTTTTGAACCCATTAAAGTAAAGTTCTGTTTCCTAAGAGGTTGGCTAAGATGATTGATGGCAGCGAAAAACGCAAACATCAGTTGACTATTGAACATTGGACTTTGTGTGTTTTTAAAAAGCGCAGTAAAATGCACTGTGCATTAACATTAATTTTATTCCTTGACTTACAATGTATCAGGCATTTCATTGCAGGTATTAGCCACTGAGGTAAGACTTCAGCAGCTGTTTAGAAAAATAATAAGAATAAAAAAATGTTTCATTGAAAAGCAGTTTTAATCAGTGTTGAAAAGTAATAATTGCATGTACCTGGTGTTGACATGTTAATTCATAATCCATATTCCAAGATTGCATTTTACCTTTTGGAAACTCTTGTTTCATTGAACTGTGATGCACACAACTTGTATCATAGTCATCATCTTTTAGTGAATTTATAACTGAATCATCTAGATCCATCAGTCTCTTTAAGCTGTAAAATATGACAAATTGCTAAATAGTGAAATGGGATATCCTCGAGAACCTGAAAACCATACCCTGTTGAGTAGCACATACCTGTTTAGACCACTTTCATAAGGGAGTACCCCCCCCCACTAGAGGAATAGCTCTTAATGTTCCAAACTTTTGAACCATACCCTGGACAGACAGGTGGGCACCAATGGAACCTGAGAGCCTGGGTGACAGATGGGGGTGGGTGGAACCCTTGACCTATACCAGAGGAAGTTGAGGGAATTTTTCCATTCAGCCCAAAAGATTCTAGGAGCTTTTCCCCAGTTAGATAAAAAACCAAATTTTACTGATTTAATGGACCATTTTGGTTCAGTCTGACCAGAGTATTTGGGACCAGCTTTGAAGGGGGACCACTTTGATCTGCTCAATCATTCCAGTTAGTCTGGCGGAAATGTCCTTTTCCATTTGGGAAAATTGCTGTGTCCAGTACAATTCTTTTGCATCCTGCTTACAACAACAATAAGCAAATGCGTGGTGGCTTGGGTCTGATCTGTGCAGCCAGAATGTACCGTTCCACTGGGCACATGGAATTTCCAAAATTTTTTTTTCACCCCAAAGTTTTTGTTGAATGGAAAGTGCCCCAGGCTTTGGACAAAATTTGTGTTGATCTCGAAGGTTTTGCATCACTATATGTTTTAGCCGGGAGAATTTTTTGCACAACGTGGACCTGAAATGCCAGGAGGTCACTCCCGTGTAACCTATATACAACAGGTTCCAGTTTTACTGGGAAACTGGTTTTATGACGGACATGGAGGGCGCGATCCATTCAACCAAAATTCCAACTGGTCCGACCGGGAAAAGTGGTCCACCTCAAAAGGTGGACCCGTTTTTTCGAAACTTTTCCGGTTGAACCGAACCGATCCATTGAGTTTTGGACCGAAATTTTCGGAAATTTTGGTTGAATGGATCGCGCCCGGGGGTTCAACTTTATCTGAAAGAGGCCTGTCTTACTCACCGAATGGTGGCAATATTCCACCAGACTTCACTAATTTCCTTATCAGATAATGAGCGCCGATTGTGGGCAACAAAAGCTGCAGGATTCATTATGACATCTTGTAAGTCGTCTCGACGATTGCTTCTCCTTCTTAACTTAACACCACCTGTACTCTTAACTGAGTTTCCGGGATTACCTCTTTTAGCGCTTTGAACGTTCAATCTATTAACCAGAGGTGTTCTAGAAGGGCCGATCGTAAGCGGATTAGATCGAAGATTGTATCCACTGCCACTGGATGGCGTTGAAACAGTGTTAGAAACTGACCAATCTTCGGTTGGCTCATCTTGATAAATTGTACTCAGCGTCCTTTTTTGTGCCGCTACAGTTCTGGTTGTTTCTTTCTCGCTCTTCGGCGCCTGAGATCTCTCATTTTTCGGAGGGCGCTTGGCCTTATAAGGCGAATATCGAACCTTGTCCGTGAACCGATACAGATGGTTGTTGTCTTCGAACATTCCATTATATTGCTTGCCTCGTGCGTCCGTTATGATTCCATTTTTGAGAAATTTACTACAAAGTTGCACGGCTTGTTGTCGAGTCACATCAGCTCCAAAGTTTGGATTTTCCTTAAGGAAGCCATGAAGCCAGTCTAATGCTTCAGAAGCTACAAACGCATCTTCGAACACTTTCATCCGCCATCTTCTTCGTTTCACTGAAACATTGCTTTTCATCTGTTGCACGATGTCATTCCACTAAGGGGCAAAAGGACAAGCAAGCGAAATAAGACAGAGGAAATTTCCTTGTTTTGTCTATGGAAGATGTCTCATTTCATGTAGAAAATGTTAAATCGAATAAAATGTCGATAATTAGCATGCCACTTCATTGACGATCGAGGTGACCTTAGATTGTATACTCACCAACTTAGTCGCCGAAAATGGACCTCTGCATAAATCGCTGCTGCTCTCTGTGTTTGCATTCATTTTTCTGAGCTTCAGTATGTTTTCGCCATAGCAGAAGGGATCAAAAATGACTCAATCTTTTACCTTTATGCAGAGCTAAATGTTTACAAGATTGTATATGGCTATTTTGAAATCTGCAACAAAATAAAGTCCGGGCGCTGATTGGACAACGGCACAACTTACAAAGGATGTGATCACGTGGGCAGCTGGGTACATTGGCCCCAGTGCCTTCTTCCGAGTTTAAAAAATGTAGAAAATTCCAAAAATACTGAAAACCAATATTCACCATTTGAATAGTCGGACCACAGAATCTTTCCCATAGACTCAATAGCTAGAAATACATACCAAACAAAAATAGCATGTAAAACTACTACCAAAGAGAAGAAGAGGCTTCATTTGAATGGTCACGCCTGGCTTTGGACCTGGCTGCGCAGTGGAGAAAAAGGCAAAAAACTCAGTCAAATAGGAAAAATATCGGCGAGCGAAGCAAGCCGAGCAGTTCGCTCGTTGATCTTGGTTTTTTTTTTTTTGCCCACGTCGATTTTCTCCTCCTTTTTCCCTGATTCGTCCCCAGTCGTCTCTAAGTTGTCTTTACTCATTAGTGGGGTTACGCAACAGAACGGCAGAGGGAAGAAGACGGCGTGACAATAATTTTGTTAGAGAAACTTATTCGCCGATCTTCACCTTCCTTTAAACAGGTTTTTTTTTTTGTAAAAGACCAGAAAACATTAACTCAACTAAAGATCATCACAAAACATAAGTAATAGGCCTGTCACGTTTGTCACACACAAGTGTTTTGCGGTCCTCTTCTTTCTACCGTCCTGTTGGGTAAGCGAGTCACTATGAATAATTATTTACTAGAGAAGCGCTTAGGTTGTGCGCGCGGGGAAGATGGGAAGGCTTCCTTCCCGTCATCCCCTTCGTTAAAGAGCCCGTTCTAGTCTTCTACGCCAAATACTAATAATGAGAGACGGCTGGGGACGAGTCAGCTTTTTCCCCAAATGCGAGCCTGGTCCCAGGCTAGGTCACGCCCGGCCAGGAGCCAGTCACACCACACAGGCTCAACAGTTTGTATAAGTACGTAACATAATTTACTCCTCTGGGACGAGAAGGGGTTAGGCAGGTTTGGTTCAAATAGTATTTTTTTTAATAAACTAAGTTTAAAAATTGCAAAGCTGGCAGTACTATAGTAAATGAAATATCAAGTCTCGTTCAGTTGCCCTAGAGAGCCATGCCAGTGCTATAAAAAGTAAGGAATATAATCGCTTCAAAGTCACCTGTATTCAAACCACACAATACTGACCCTCATCAAGTTTATGAAATCTTTATTTTCACCTCTGGAGAGGAATTGCACAGTCGGCTTTGATAATTAACCGCTAAGCTAAGAAACTAAATGAAATCTTTGACAATTCATAACGTCATTGTTACATTGTTAAAGCAACCCAGCAGCTGACCGAGGGTAGAATTTCGCAAACAAGTTTAACCACTCCAAAACTGTTAGCTGACAGTTTTCGATCCTCGCCCCACGGCCCTTTAATCTGAAATTCCGCCATTTGAATCTGGTCAAAAGAAACCATGTTTACAGGTTGAGTTTTATCTTTAATTTCATAGAGAAGGTTTAAAGCTTCTGTTTTGTTATTAAAGGTTTTGCTGAATGTCACGCCGCTGATAGACCTTGTACTGGAGTAGGTCGTTTTCACCGCAAATTTTCGTTGTTTCAAGGTCTTCCTCATTCCAAAAACGGTCTTTTTGTTCAAGCTGGGAGGATTTTTCATCTTAAACGTGTATTCAACCGCCTTGTTTATGTTCTTCAAAGTTGATGCCATGCCTAGCAAAGAGAAAACAGAAAAATGGCGATGAGATGTTTTGTATCTTGATCCTTAAATAAAATGCGATTGCAGAGAAGAAAAAAAATGAACATCTCATATCTTTTATTAGACATTTTAACTTTGATTATTAACTTCATTAAGAATTGTCCGCTGAAGCCAGGTTTTAAAAGGGGCAGTTCAATCATTTGAAGTATTCGATTAATAACTCCGCGTAGCAGTTCTTCAAGTAAGTAGTTGATCTAGCAATACGTTCATACGAACGGAATGTACTTGATTTATATTACTTGTATGCACTGCAACGTCATCAATCCATCAGGGGCACCCAACGAGGATATAGTTCAAAACCACTTAACATAGCATTGTTGAACGTATTTTAGTATTTAAACGGTAGATATAGGCATCTTTTTATCCCCTAAAAACTTTTCATCTGTTCGGATTTCCTAGCTGAAAGTCTAGTGATCCGAAAATTATAGGGATGAAAACTTACCTTTTCGAAAATTTCAGCCAGGAAAAGGCTCCCGAAAATTCTAGGTGGCCTTTTTTAGGGTAAATATCCGTTTAAAATGGGTAATTATACCATTTTGAAGATGTTCGAAAATCCTAGGAGAGGCAGGCAAGCAAGAAATTTTACAACAAATGTTCCGAAAATTCTAGTTCTCAAATCGTCTTCCAACAGATATTTTCCCGAAAATTGCCGTTGGGTGCCCCTGATCCATCATAATTAAGATCCGCTGCCCAACCATCGAGTCGCCCACGATCAGCTATTACAACCATCGTCGTCATCAATTTGCATTACATGTGGAAGGGTTTATGCATTCGAAGCAAGCTTCAGCGCTCCATTTTTTACTAGGACGAAATCCAAAAAAAGGGAGAAAAGCTTGTGATTGCAATGAGATGCGTAAACAGGCCCTATCGTTGTAAATTGCGTGAACTTTACTGCACAGTTTTCTAAAAGTGGTTTTTATCCTCTGTAATTTTTACAGATTTTCATTTTGATTGGCCGTTCTTGAACTGAGTAAAAGAAAAGCTGATCCATACTTACTCTTCGAAAGAAGTTGCATTTCAATTGGATAGTGATCACTAACCTTGGATGCCTGCGTAGAATGAATTGTATTGGTAACTAAATAACCGTAAAATCCAGGTTATAATACCGAGGCTGATAAAATTTCGTAAAGGGTTTGCCGGATGGTGTTATTTCCTGGGAAGCGTATAAGCTTATATGTCTCAAACAAGCTCATAACGACAAGTACTTAATTTCAGTCAAAGAAAAAAGTTCAAGGCTCCACAGTAAGGTAAGGTAAGGTAAGGTAACTTTATTTAAACACGGTATTTCCTTCAGGTATACATTACATTGAAGAATAGAAAAACTAACTTCCTAACTAATCTAAAATCTAAGATAAAAACTAAAATAATAAAGATGAAAAGAAAACACCTGCTTTTCAAGGAGGCCGTGTATAAAAACAGAAAATCGCTAATTAAATTATTTGTCAATCGAAATTTACGTCTCTTAATTTTCCCTTAAATATATTAGGGGATGTCAATTGCCGCACCTCCAGAGGCAAGCCGTTCCATAACACACTTCCGCTGTAAGAAAGACTTCTTTTATAAAATTCAGTACGGGGTTTTGGAACAGCGAGCTTGTATTCATTTTCTCTAAGATTATAACTGGTTAAATCGCAGCGACGAACAAAACGCGAAGTCAGATATTCTGGAGCAGTGTTATTTACAATGCTATGCATCATTATTGCTTTACTAACTGCGCGCTGATGGACAAGTTTCGACCACTTTAATTTTTGAAATAATTCACTAGTACTGCAGTCATGATTAGAGAAAGTCAGAACGCGGGCGGCGCGATTCTGCAATTTCTGCAATTTAGAAGATAGGTTCTTAGAACAGTTTCCCCACACTACATTACAGTAATCAAAGTGTGGCTGTACCAGTGAATTGTATACGTTAAGTAGAATCTCAAAAGGGAGAAAATACCTAATACGCTTAATCGCACTTATGCCAGAAGCAATCTTCTTAGAGATTTCGTTAATATGACACTCCCAAGAAAGTTTTAACTTCAAGTACAGAACAAGATATATATGTTGTGGTTCATATAGAGATACATATAGATGGGACCTAAAACTGTGGAGGACGTACTTGCAACCGAAATAAAATTCCTGTTCACAACTTGGATGGGCTTATAACCGGTAGGGCTTTAACAGAGATGTATGCAGTCTTTTCTATGCAATAATTAAAATAGGATGACTGCATGCAAAAAATGGAAAAGAGAAAGTAACAAACAATAAATATACGACACCATAGTTTCCTTGACGCCCAAAACTTGATCATATTCAAAACTTCCCGCACTCGATTCAACTATGGATTCCACGATGGCATCTCCGGCAGCAACGAATCTGAAATGTAAGCCACATAGGAACTAACACAGTAAACTTTGATTACTGTCCAGTATTCCTTAGATCAAAATTCAGGATGGAGGATTTCTTTTGTTATGTTAATTCTGAAAAGCAAATGACAACGAGCGAAATCTCGGTGAAAGAGGTTTTATTCGAAAGTTATCCAGTGGATAGCGCTATCCAACGTTTGAAAAGCCGGGGCCTGACTGACAAACCTGAGGCCCAAGATGCTCTCATTTTATCCCCTTTCTCTCTCCATCAGTGCTCCGTTTTACAGGTATTTAAAGCTATTTAAAGGTACACGAAAAGAAAAGAAGTCGAAAAAAGGACTGAGGTCAACACTATGTAACTCCAGCACAGAAGCGCAGCGCACTTCTCATGAGACAAAACTCATTTTACAAGAAAGGTCTACAATTAGCCTCGTTTTGAAAGTGAGGGTTTTTGGAATTCAGAAATGACCTATTTAACCCACCGATCATAAGCACAATGTCCTCCTGCCAGACTAGTATCAACACAGTCAGAAATGAGCCAATGAAATCGTTTGTCATTAGCCAAACGATTTGTCCGCCAGTCGTTGTCACTCATGTAGCTACAGGCCGCGTTTAAGTCCCCAAGAATGATGACATCTGTTATTCTGAGCCTCTTGATGACGTCGTCATATACATTCGCGAGCTCGTTGATTTCCTGAGGGGCTTTAGATGGAGAAGTGTGTATGGCAACAAGGACAAAATCCGTAACATCTGGAATGCAATGAAATTCCGCGAGTTTAGTTCTGAACAACATATGTAAAGTTACTAAGGCCAGGTGAAGCTCAAGGAATCTACGTTCATAAAATGGGGGAAACCCGACCTCAACCAGCAGGTGAAACACATAAACCTGACTCTCTCCCTGTAAGTAGCTAAGCGTCACTTATTTTAAACTTTTCAGTACGCAATATTGCCAACGCAATGTAACGAACTTTGTAACATCGCGCGCGATTTAAATTCAACGGCGATTTCAAAATTTGTAACACTGAAGATGACGGATGTACCGTCGAAACATGGCAACATGTCATGGTAAAATAAAGAAAGTTGTTACGTTTATGGGGATAGGCCTTTCCAGATTCTACTCGGCAACTTTTAGCAACTTTTAGGATTTTGAGCAACTTTTTTGTCAGAGAGCAACTCAGTAGCAACTTTTCGGAAAACTAGCACTTTTTTGGTAACTTTTGGGCTATTTTGAACCAAAATGCTGAATAACCCCTTTTTTAAAAAATAAACAAGTTAAAATTCTTTTGGTTAAAATTCTAAACATCTTTCTAGTAAAACTTTTTATTTAAAAAAAAAATTTGGTTGCCCCGGGCGTGCATGGTTTCTCCTTCTTCCAAGTGAAAATGTTCACTGGAAGTGTAAGTGTGCTGCTCACTAGTACATCATTAAAAATTAAAAATAAAAAAAATTAAATTAAACATGCTGTCTTAAAAATATTCGAGCGACTTCACAAAATTTTTGAGCAACTTTTTTCAATTTTAAGCAACTTTTGACTTTTTCGGAGCAGAATCTGGAAAGGCCTAATTACTTCCTTCTTTTCGTTTTGTACCTAGCCTAACATAAAACTCAGCTTGCAGGTACTCCGTGACCAATTTCTTTCTTTCAACTTTTCTGGTTTCTGGCCGGGTCATACCTACAGAGGGGTCATCTACAACATTTTTTCCGAAAGACAAGGTGCCAAACATGTTAGGTGTCTACCTCGATAATCCTGTCAGTAAACATAGCTCTTCATGAAGACTACCAATACTATTTCCCGCTTCATTCTGTGACTCACGATATACAGGAAAACGTTCACGTATGCTTATCCAAGAGTTAACTCATTGGACCATTGATAAAATGAGACCATTACTTACTTGTCGTTGTCGGCTTGAAGTGCACAATGAATGGTTCCCTTTCAAACGTGTCGTTCTTCTCACTCTCCTGGCCATCATCGTAAACGTAAGATTTTTTCACAGATAAAACGTCTCTCCTATGGGCGAAAAACGTAAAACCACTGAAAACGTAAAACCTTTAAAATAGCCTGCTTATGTTCGCCAGTATACTACCTATATAAAATTGAGCATCTTCCCTTACAGCTACAAGTTCTTTTGACAATGTTGTTCCGCGTGGTATATACTTATAATTGAGGAGAAGTACTGAATGGCTCAGAAACCGAAAATGAAGTTGAAATACTCAGTCCAATAACAGAAAACGGCGTAACCTGATTTACTCATGGAGAGGGGTCGATGGGGCGGGCGGGGGGACTGCCTATAGCTAAAGACTGGAAGTGGGGAGGCTGAAGATAGTCTTGCCTTACTATTAAACAGTCTTTGTTTTCTCGTAAAACGTGCGGCTTCACTGTTCCTGTAAATTGACACATCGTCATCACCAGTACTATTTATTCGCTGGAAATCCTAATACCCTCTGATTGCGGGCTGAGAGCTTGCTGAGAGTTTTTTGGCACACAAAACAAGAGAAACTATCCACTTATCACCTGTACAAAAACGCGTATTGCTCTTTGCTGAAGGTTCTTCCTAACCGAGGGCTTATTTCCAGGTCATATTGCCCTCTTGATGATGCTCTGTAATATGAATAAAAAAAACAACAGCAATCAAACAAAATAATCTCGTAAAAAACCTGAAACAGCATTACGATTGAGTAGAATAGAGTCTGATAGAGGTCAGGGCTCAGTTTCTAAGGGCCGACTAGCGCTAATTATCCAGGATAAAAATTTTAATCCAATTCAATCAACCAAATTCTAATTCTAATTCAAATTCGACCAGGAATCAGGTAGACGAAGAATCACTTTGTGGATGTGATGCCTCCAAATCATTATTTTATTTATTTATTTATCTATTTAATCCACGAGTGTACTTGCTTTTCAATACATTGTTATGAGTGTCATTTTCTGCCAAAATAACCGGATTTTGAAGTAAACCCTCGACAGTACTTTATAAGCTCCAGCTCCATTTTACAGTCAAGAATACTGCTTAAAATTTGTCTTCACCCAGGGTTAAACTTAACTTCATGGTTTTCTGAAGACCTGGGCCGACTACAGCTACCGAGGCCACTTAAACACAACTAGAATAAAAGCCACGATGAGAAAGACGGTGCGGGCTCTCTCCTTCGTAGAGGCCTCTTTTCGTCGTAGGGAGGCCGGCAGAAAGAAAAAAAAAAACGCGCAGGGCACGATGGTAAGGGGGAAGAGAAAACAGAGGGTCCTGTTATTTCCCTCTTCCCATCGTCCCCCGCGCGCCTCCTGTTTTTTCATTACTGCTATTTTTATGGGATACCCAGCGGGAACCTCTGCGGAGGAGAGAGCGGTGCGGGAGAAAGTAAATTAACAACAAGGGAGGAGAGAGGTCTAGAATTAGTCCCTCTGACCCTTGTATATATGGAAAAAAGACCAACTTTGTTTCCGTTCCTCGCCTAAATTTTGGTATTTCTGATAATGGACTGGCACTAAATTGCACTAGTCCCAGCCCAGTTCGCGCTATCCGAGTATGCAGAGGAGGTTTGGAACCAAGCGCGTCCGACAAGCTTGACCGGCTACCTCACATCCGAGATCACCGAGGACGATTGGGAACGAGGCTGGAGCTAGCCGACATTCGAGGCAGGTGTACGGCTCAACTCAATTAGCGCGCGACCATAAGTGAAGAACCAATCTTTCTGTCCAATTTCTCTATCTCCACTTTACAGTCTAATCTTTCTCCCCTTTCCAGTATCTCTCTACTTTCCACCCTCTACTTAGAGATACTCTACTTATTTTTCCAGCGAACGAGGGCTACATTCATTAGTATACACCGACACTCACTTGTTTACTAAAGACAGTAAGTCCACAATTGCTTTTCCTGAGGAATCACGAATTTCCTGAATGAGAATGACGTCATATCGAAGAATAATCTGCAAAATTTAAAACGGAAAGAAATGTAGTCTGGATATCGGATGAAACATTCTGTCTTGCAAAAAGGAAACAAGCATATATCAAGAGCCCATATATTCAAACAAATGTTTTGATTTGCAATTAAACCTCCATCGGGGACTAATTAGAAAATAATGAAAATCCGGCCACTGTCACTGAAGCTAAAAATTGCAAATTTAGGAAAAATGCTAGAAAATACATTGAGGGTCCGTTGAGTGCTGGAATTTGTGACCAGGCATCAATAAGCTGTAAGCATTATGGAACTTTCCGTGATAAGGGGCGGGGGGGTGGGGGCGGTCTCCAAAAAATTATTTTCGACCTTTCGGGCCTCAGTTTGGTCTAGAAATAAGGGGGGTGCGGCCCCCCGGGTCCCTCCCCTGGATCCGCCATCGCGGGCTTTCCCAAGCTAGGCTTAGTGGGGAACCGCGTACTGGAGCCAAGCGAAGCGCGAGTGGGGAGCCATCACTCAGTTCTCGCGCTTTCCTTGATAATAAGCCTCTTCCAGACTTCGAGATAGTCGGGTCCGTGAAATTGGTTGTTTACAAAAATTTCCGGGAAATCTGGTTGGAAAGTAAATGGAACACGACTTTTTGGGTCTTTCCAGCGGACAATTTCCGAGAGCAACGGAACATCTAAAAAAGTAGTCCTGTTTTTGCGGATGGAATATTCCAAAAGGAAATTTGTGTTCCATTTCTTCAAAGCCATCTTTGATACCAGTTTCAGGCCTTGCCAGCCGTTTTCGGGTACGTGGAACTGATTTGTACAAATGGTAAACGCGATTCCAGGACGAAATTTGCCAGTCCTGAACTTTGCGAACCATTTACCAACACCACGAATCGACCGGTTTGCCAAAATAAAACGTGAGGAAACTGATCACCCGCTCATATTTCGCGTGCGTTTCACTTATGCGTCATCCCTACTATGTGAGAGCCTGGAACAGGCTACTTAATTATTAACTCAAATATTCCTCAAAGCTGAAATTTCGGTAGGTACATCAAATGGTACGGACCATCACGGTTTGGTCCGACCGGAATATTCGGAACCAGCTTTGAAGGTGGTCTACTTTGACCGATCTGGTCATTTCGTTAGAACGGACCGAAATGTCCCTTTCCATAATTCGACAAAATTGTTGTCCTCAGCACAGCTCTTTTGTATCCTGCTTACAAAAACGATAACCAAATGATAACCAAATACGTGGTGGCTTGGGTCGGGTCTGTGCAACCAGAATGTACCGTTTCATTGGGCACGTGGATTTTCCAAAATTCAAAGCGGAATTTTTGTTGAATGGAAAGCGCCCCACTTCTCGCGCCTTGCCGGCGCCTCGCCCGTGTTTTATTCTTTCCCCGACTTCCTTTGCACGCAAAACGTGATCGTGAGCGACTGGGGACGAGGCAACTGAATTGAAGGCTTAGTTGCCTAAGGGTATCTGGGTGGTTTGGTATACAGGGTGTACATGGGTAAACAGGGTATACATCGGTATACAGGGTATACATGGGAATACAGGGTATACAGAGTATACATAGGAATACAGGGTATACAGGGCATACATCGGTATACAGGGTATACATGGTATACAGGATATGCATGGTATACAGGATATGCATGGTATACATGGGTATACATGGTATACTATACGTGGGTATACAGGGTACACAGGAGTATACAGAGAGATAAACAATATATTACTATTACATGAAGGATATATCTATTTAGCGTAAGCGTAACATGAAAGAATAAGAAGACGCCCGACGGTATTTACGCGGGATGTGTTGGTGTAAGAAAGAATTACCGGTATGTTGGATGGCAATGGAAAGTTGAGTGAGTCTAGCAAAAATTTTTCAGTTAGTAGTTGTTATCCATTGTGCTGAATCGGCTCCTGGTTGCATTTTTTCCTGTTCTTGCTATTCCTTTGGGCAGAACTTTGCATAATGTGTGAAGTTTTACAAAACAGCTGAGCTAATGCAAGCTTGTCCTTAGGGCTTTTCGGTTACTGTCCTGTCCCAATACCACTGACATCATTTTACTGATTATTCACAAATGTCTTTCATATTAACTGGTAAAAGCCAGCTGGTTATGAAAAATCAACCAGGGGATTTAAGCCAATCAGAGACGGAGAAACATTTTGAATAAGTAAGAATAAAAATTTGTATTACTATATTAAATTTTTCACCCTCAGTGTAAGAACCAGTAATGCTCTCCAAAAAATAAGGAAACACAAAAGTATACAACCTAGGAGACTAATAGCTACCAAATGAAAACAGACATCACAAGTTCTTACCAGGAGCAGGTTCTTATACAATGGTAAACCAAATTTCTTATAGTACAGTAAAGCAAGAGCCATGGCTCTTGAGTAAAGAAATTGAAATTGAAAGTCTAGCTTGTTAGTCTGTACCTCCGTAAACCCCAAAATGCAAAGAGAAAAAGAACTTGGTGATTATTTGGCATGTGATATGGCTGAATCTGCGAGCGGGCAAGATGAAACGAATCCTGTGTTTTGTGATTGGCTACCCGAGCGGGTAAGATGGGCCTAACTTGCCCGCTCGGGATGTCCCGCTTTGGTCCCGCAAGAGAAAGTTCAAAGCTTCATTGGCCAAGCCTGTTTGGTCAAGACGGCTGGATTTTGGGCGCTCTTATGGGCCGAGACGAAAAACGATCCAGCTAGGTCAGGTAGTGAAGTGTGACGCAATAATGGAGAGCGAAGGGATAAAAAAGGAAGAGGGGGAAGGAAGGACAGGGAACAAGTTCCCTTGGCCACACCCCACTCTCCCCCTCTTTTCTCCCCTCGGTCTATTTTTTACCCACGCTCTCATCCTATCTGAACGCCTTGAAAAGGCTTAATATTACATTAGATCTTGACGCACGCTTGGTCAATGACGCATATCTTTCAAACTCATGCTTGGTCAACGCCAACGCCTATGTATTATAATGAATGTCGTTAAAACTCGGCGAAGAAGCAGCGAGCATTCTGCTTCAGTGAGTCGAAATTAGGCGGAACTATATTAAGTATCGTCACGTTGTGGGAATTAGATCTTCAAGGGAGTTCTAGTACTCGTTTGAAAATTAGAAATTCGACTGCAGGCTTAAGAAATCTTGGTTATGGCTATTTCAGCTTATATCGCAACCTACCTTAACAAGAATTGTAGGTACACCAGGAGAATTCATTTTTCGTCTTCCGAACGTCTGTACGTTGAACGCTGCAAGCTTCAAGTTTGATGAATAAGAAGGGTTCCCCTTTCCGGTCCCGAGATGGCGTCTCGACAAAATCCGTTCGTCTTGTCGCTGATAACATTGCTCATTTTGGAGGTTGTGATTTACATATTGGTGAGTATTGACGAAGCAGAACAGCATAGAAGTATAAAGAATGATAAACTCCATTATTATCATCTCGAATCATCGATCCTTCGAGTACAGCTGTGCCACGTTACTGTTTCCTGTCATCACTTGTCAAGCTAGTAATGAATCCAATCAGTGTAATCCCTTCGAACGTCATTTGCAAGGAATATTCACTCCTATGTACATAAGGAACTCAGCTCTCCACCAATAGTGTTTTAATAGTAAAACGCTTGGGTTACAGTCGACTTGATATCATTTGCATTCATTTAAATTCTACAAGTAAGTTTGCAGTTCATTATCAGCTGTAAGCTAAGCTAAGTATCAAGTGTATGAAGAACCAATATTTAACGAAGTAATGTGTATGAAGCGTGTCAGAGACCAATAAAACATGAATAAAATACAAACAATGATGGCTAATGTTTGAGGATCAGTGGGAGAGTGAAGAAAGCTTTCGAGAGTCTCAGAAGTGACGCTATTAACTAGTTCAAACGTATTTCAATGTATTTATCTTTTTTTGGAGTATTTCTCCTAAAAGGGATATTTTATTTACTGTTTAAAAAGGAAGCTAAGATTAAAAAGTAGACAACTTTCGAGGGCTTCAAGAAGAAATGCAATAACTGATTAAAATATGTTCAAACTAGGCTGAGCTGGCAGAACGACAGCTTTCGGGGCCACTTTAACAGGTTACAATGTATTTCATTCGCAGCTGTGTCGCTGGAGACGGTTTAGTATTTTAATTCTTCTATAATAATACAATACGCAGATTCTTAAAAGAGTCTTCTTTTGAAATTCATTCTGTTAATTAACGCCGGTTGCAAGAAGTTGTTGTTTTTTAGTAAACCTTACCAAATAATGCAAAATATGACGACTGAAATTTCCAGTTTTAAACCAAATATCTCTCTGACATTAGAGAAAAAAATATTAGTTCGGAAATTTGGACGCAAGAAATGAAAATCAAACAACTTCGACGATGTCGTCCTCAGTAAGATGCTAGCAAGAGGAAAACTTCACACATTTTCTGGTTATCATTTCAATCTCAAAAACTAAACTAATACCTAATCAAAAAACTTGGAGTATTGCGCTTTCTTTTGCTAAAGAAGGAATTGTCCGCTAAAAACCAATTTTTGTTCTAAGATACTTATATGTAACTTCTTTTTTAGAGAAACAGAATCAGGTGTCACCATTCGTGTTCAGTCAACTAATTTTTCTCTTTCTCTGTTGAAGACGGTAATTATTACGGGAGATAATGAAGATGACGGGGAAGATGGAAAGAAATGAGGGGGAATGAGGATGTTGACGAAGGTGGCAGGTTGAGGATCATTAATATCTAATGTATGGAGCTTTAAATAAGCCTTGGGATACAATAACTAACGATAGTTGTGCAAATCAGTCTTCACTCATTTAGGGCACTTTGTCTAGCTAGAACTTAAAATAGATTTCTCGATCTAAAATCAACTCGAAGCGCAATGATTTTGGCCAAAAATGACATTCTATGGAAGCTAAACCAGTAAAACAGACTGCCAAGTGATATCCTCTTATATTTTCTCCCGTATCATCTGTATAAAAATCGTCTCCACTGTGCAAAGGAAACCGAAGATACCAATTTCAGATTAGCTATGTACGTCAGTAAACCTTATTACAGTCTGCTTTGCTAAGTTGGTAAAGATCATTAAACAAAGTTTTAGAGAGGTATACCTTTCAAAATTGAACATAATCATGCTGGGATGCAATTTTTACGTCTAGCAAGAAAAGAATTAAATCTCCTGATATTGTCACATGATGTAATAGAATACAGAAGGGGGAAAAGTCTACTTACATCAACTTAAAGAGAAGTGTGACGTCACGTTTCTATGGTAGCAAAATTTGTGCATCTCAACAATCTTTTTTGACGGAGACGGCCATTTTAATTGTAGAGCTACCGTTTTGTTCCTAGCGGAACTGAGCCTCTTGATGACGTCGTCATATACATTGGCGAGCTAGTTGATTTCATGAGGGGCTTTAGATGGAGAAGTGTGTATGACAACAACGACAAAATCCCTGACATCTGGAATGGAAAGAAATTCCGCGCATTTAGTTTTGAACGACATTTGTAAAATTAGTTTTTCACTGAGAATTATATTTGCAATGTCACCTTCAACATTGACGATATTCCCCGGATAGGCAGGGACGTTGGGAGATTGTGAGTAAATGGTTTGCAACAACGATTTCCCTTCTATCAGAAATGATGGGTATGCCGAGGAGTGCAACTTGTCGCCGTAATTGGGTTGAGCTGGTCGTTGCATTTTGCATTTTGCGTTATAAGCATAGACAAGGCACGATAGAGAGGAGAAGAGTCGTTGCGTCACGTTGCCATGGTATCCATTTCTGAATCTCACAAACCGTGGTCCTGCAAATACTGCAGGAAAAAAATCTAGTTTTTGGCGGACAATTCCTTCTTTACAAAAAGAGAGCGCAATGCTCCAAGCTTTTTTATTCGGTATTTAGTTCTGAGATTAAAATGATAATTAGAAAAATGTGTGAAGTTTTCCTCTTGCCGGCATCGTACTGAAGACGACATGATCGAAATTGTTTGATTTTTATCTCTTTCATTCCCGCAACTACTATTTTTTTGCTGTGGTGTTGGAGAGAAATTTGTGTTAACTGGAAATCTAGTCAAATTTTGAATTATTTGGTTCATTAAACGACAAGTTTTTTAGCTCTGAGACCGGATTCAGAATGTCTTGCAACCGACGTTAATTAACACAAGGAATTTTAAAGAAACTGAAAATCTGCGTGTAGTATTGTTATAAAAGAATTAACTCTAAACCGTCACCAGCGACACGGCATCGGATAAAATACATTTTAGCCTGTTAAAAGATCCCGGAAAGCTGTCGTTTCTGTCACTTAACTGTATAACTGGAACACATTATTTTTAACCAGTTAGTTACATTTTTTCTTTATACCCTCGAAAGTTGTCTACTTTTTCATCTTAGCTTCCTTTTAAACAGTATTTAAAATGTCCTTTTTAAGAGGAATACTCCAACAAAAGATAAATACATTAAAATACATTTGAACGAGTTAAAAGCGCAGCTTCTGAAACCCTCGAAAGCTTTTCACTCTCTCACTGATCCACAAACAATAGTCAATCTTATTTGAATTTTATTCGTAACTTATTGGTCCTCGACACGCCTCATACACATTACCTCGTTACATATGTAAATATTGGTTCTTTATACACTTGATACTTATCTTACCGCCGATAATGAACTACAAATTTAGATTGTAAAGCGTTTTACTAAACACTATTATGGGTGTACAGCTGAGTTCTTTATGTAGATAGGAGTAAAAACTCCTTGGATATGACGTTCTAAAGAAGTATACTGATGACAAGAATCAGTAACGTGGCTGGCATAGCTGTGCTCATTGAAGGATCGACGATGGTGGGGTTTATCTTTCTTTGTACTATGCTGTTTTGCTTCGTCAATACTCACCAATATGTAAATCAGAAACAAGAAGAACGGATCTTATCGAGACACCTGCACGTGACCCGAAATGTGAACCCTTCGTATTCATCAAAGCTGAAGCTTGCAGCATTCAACGTACAGACGTTCGGCATACGAAAAATGAATTATCCTGGTGTGCCTGCAATTCTTGTTAAGGCAGGTTGCGTTATAACCCGATTTATAAGCTGGAATAGTCATTAAAAACCAAGATTTCGGGTGTACTTCGGTATAAGAACCTGTGAACTTTTTCTTCGTTACGTTGTTTTTCTAGGCTCTTTTGTGTTGACCTCTTTGATTTCTTTGTTCTACGTCACCCTTGAATTAAACAGGTTCTTACACTGAGGATGAACCAAGATGTCTTAAACTTGCAATCGAATTGCTAATTTGTTAACGACGCGACGATCCTTTAAATTCGCGGGCTCACTGAAGCTTAGCTCTCACTTTTTTCGCAGAATTTAAACGATATTCGTGATGATATTCACGATTAAAGATAGGCTTTAGTGTTGAGCAAGAGTGAGTTTGGGATTTATGCGTTATTAACCTAGCGTGAGTTTGCATTAGGCGGCATATTTGCCTATTCCAGTTCAGAAAGGTGAGCGTGGGCAAAAAATAGACCGAGAAGAAAAAGAAAAGGAAGATCGAGGCGTGGTCGAGGGAACCTGTTCCCTGACCTCCTCTCACCCTCTTCCTCTTTTCCCTCTCCGCTCTCCATTGCTCAGCACTCGCCTGGAGCAGGCTAGCTGGACACTGACCTCGCTTTTCGTCTCGGCCCATAAAAAAACGCAAAAAGAAGGTCAATATCCAGCTATCTTGACCGAACAAGCTTGGTCAATCATAAAGGATTTTATAACTGAAAAAGAGAACTTTTCCTTGCGGAACCAACGCGGGAAAACCAAAGCGGGCAAAAAGGCCCATCTTGCCTGTTCGGGTAGCCAATCAGAACACAGGATTCGATTCATCTTAACTTTAATGAGTTATTAATACATTTTACAAGGAGTAATAATTTTATCAGTGGTGTTTATTTTTAGACTTGGTACCTTAGTACACTTAAATTTGGAAATTTTTGTCCCAATTATAATGTCTTACCTGCCCTTAAATTACCATGTTATTTAACTAGTATATTTTACTTTTTATTCACTACCTACCTATTTGGTAGCTATTAGTTTCCTTGGCTATGTTGTGTTAACCTTCTTGGTTTTGTTCTACCTAAGAATGTTACAGGTTCTTACACTGAGCAGGGGCATAGTTAGCTCATCTAGACCTGTAGGCCTTGGGCCTACAAAATTGTTGGTTTGATCACTTTACCAGGTTTTCCACTTGCAAAAAAACAATGCATTGTTGGGGTGAGCTAAAAAGCTTAACAGGTCAATGTGCTGGTGAGGTCAGTGCGTACTTAAATGAATGAGTCAGCCAGGCCTCCAACTAGTCGAAAGGCTGGCTACGCCCCTGCTAGTAGTAGTAAACCTTTATTTAACTAGGGTAATCCCTTCAGAATACTTAAAAGTATATCTGTTATCAATAGGAGCCCTAGGGGGGTGAGGGTGAATAATTATTTGATAAAAGTAATATTAATTTTCTGTTATTTAATATTGTGCAAAGTAATGTCCATATGCACATAACATTTTAATCAAACAACAATCACATTCTATCAAGAACTATAAAATAACTGAAGGTGATAAGTAACACTTAAATAAAACTGTATAAAGCTATCGCAATTAAGTTGTATTAATAGCTGTTAGTAGTGAA